TCGTGTGCCGTTCCGGCCTTCATAGGTGCTCACTAACAGCACTCGCCCCAACAGTCTGTGAAGGCTACACGGGGGATCTTTGTCATTGTTTCGTGTTAAGATTAAACGGTCCTGACGCCAAATTTCCCAGCTGAACTCCGTTTAAAACATATAACCTGCAGATTAAATCTTGACTCAAAGCTTCCCCGACTACCGAAAGAACCAACGAAGATGAAAACCTGCAGATGAGTGGTTCTTAAGTAAACGCTTGAAGTATTTTCACCACAGTTCCTTGAATGGTGCTGCTGCTGCTGAAGGCTATAGGGGGATCTTTGCCTTTGTGTGTATCCTCTGCGCGATGAGCAAACACGTGGGATGGCAAGATCCTTGTGTTTTTCGTGTTAGCTCACGGGAACGGGACATTCCGGTAAGGTGAGTAATCTGGCTGTACCAGAGAAGGTGGTGATGAGGTGGGTGGGTGGGGGGTTATTAATCTATTACTGGTCGGAACCTCCTGGTTACACCAGCCCACAGGGGATTGTTGTGTCCGTCCGTCGTGCATCTAAAAATGGGAGGGGTGGGGCTTTGTTTAATCAAAACACACACCCGTGTAGTCACTAACATTGTACATTTTTAAACGATAGATTCCCCCCCCCCTCCACCCCCCCTCCCTCCACCCCCCTCCCTCCATCCCCCACTCCTCCCTCCCTCCATCCCCCCTCCCTCCCTCCCTCCTCCCTCCTCTCCCCCTCCTCCCCCCCTCCATCCCCCTCCTCCCCCCCTCCATCCCCCTCCTCCCCCCTCCATCCCCCGCTCCCTCCATCGCCCCCTCCCTCCATCCCTTTCCTCCACCCCCCCTCCCCCCTCCCTCCACCCCCCTCCCTCTATCCCCCCCTCCCTCCATCCCCTTCCTCCCTCCCCCCTCCCTCCATCCATCCCCCCATCCCCCCCTCCCTCCTCCCCCCTCCCTCCTCCCCCCTCCATCCTGCCTCTATTGAAGGGGCGCCTACCACTCTCGGGGTCTATCTCCTGCGGGCCAAATCGTTGGGCCCTCTTGGCCACGGCCGCGCCACGGTGGCCGCGTGGCCCTTGACATTTGCCCCACACGTGACGGACGCTCGTCCCAGCTGATGGGTGCTCCACCTCGTCTCGTGATTGTCGTCGTCGTCGTCGTCAAAGCCACGAGGCGCCACACGCCGCGAGATTTGCTGTGGTCTGGGACAAGTTCTGCTGCTGTTGTTGTTGTGGCTTTTGCTGCCTTGGCCCAAGCTTTGCAAAATCGGAATTCATTCGGTGAATCGATTCACCAATGTCACCTTGCTCTATTTGAGGGCGGCAGCAGGTGCACTAGCAGCGGAACGTTAGATCCCCTATGCGACGTCAGGGGCCGTCCATAAATGACGTCACGCACCTAGAGGGGTGGGGGGTGGGGGTCAGACATTTGTGACGATGTGTGTGGGGGGGGAGGTTGAGAAATGTGACGTCACGTCAAATTGCGCAACTTTAAACAAATATAGACAACACGTTCTACTTAGTTAAATAGACTTTTTACTAAATGTTTTCTCCTACAACATCAGGGTGCAGCGCCACACTAAATACGCACTACAATGACAATAGTTTAAAGCCATTTGAAGCGTGTTTTATTTTTTTTTGGGGGGGGGGGGCAGAGCATTGTGACGTCATATTTGAAGGGGGGGGGGTCTGACTTTTTGTGACGCCGTGTGACGAGGGGGGGGGGGGTAAAAAAATCGTCCAAAACCGCGTGACGTCATTTATGGACGGCCCCTTACCGCGCCTCGATTTGGCAAAAGCCCCATGGTCACCGGTCACGGCAGACGCGACGTAGCGCGCGCCCTCTGCACCCGTGGCCTCTTCCGAAACGTCGTGACATCAACGGCCGCACGCCATCCCATCGCCATCCCGTCCACGTGTTTGTCCGTCACCCCACACCCCACACAATCATCATCATCATGCTGCTGTCAAACCCAACGGTGATTTCAAATGCGTGGCGGCCCTCACTCGCACTGACCACGCCTTATCGGCAACAGTGGCCGTCCACCCACCCCACCACCGCCTTGGACAATTAGGCCTCGTTTGTACACGTAACGTGCGTTGAACTTCTTTCGCGCCGTACGTAGCCAACCGTGCTAATCGGAGGTGCGGGGTGGGAGAACAACACTCTATGGGTTTCTGTGTGAGTCTACGGGTCTCTGTGTGAGTCTATGGGTCTCTGTGTGAGTCTGTGGGTCTCTGTGTGAGACTGTGGGTCTCTGTGTGAGTCTATTGGTCTCTGTGTGAGTCTGTGGGTCTCTGTGTGAGTCTGTGGGTCTCTGTGTGAGTCTGTGGGTCTCTGTGTGAGTCTGTGGGTCTCTGTGTGAGTCTGTGGGTCTCTGTGTGAGTCTATGGGTCTCTGTGTGAGTTTATGGGTCTCTGTGTGAGTTTATGGGTCTCTGTGTAAGTCTGTGGGTCTCTGTGTGAGTCTGTGGGTCTCTGTGTGAGTCTGTGGGTCTCTGTGTGAGTCTGTGGGTCTTTGTGTGAGTCTGTGGGTCTCTGTGCGAGTCTATGGGTCTTTGTGTGGGGTAGTTTGTTAGGGTTATTTCCGTGGTCAACTTTCATGGTACGCAATGGCTTTCCAAGGAACGGAACTCCAACGTTTAACGTTGCGCCCTATGGGCAACGAGGGTTCGATTTACGACGGCTCGACTTAACGAGCACCAATTAGGTCATAGGTGCGGTGGGGTGGGTGGGTGGCTGGGGAATACCTCCCCGTGTCCACCTTGTTACCGTCTTAAACGTTCACCTCCACACGCGTTCGTCCTGTGCCCCTGTTTGTGCACGCGCGCAGATTTGAACAGAACTCCGTCGAAGATGTCTGACAACGAGAATCCCACGGACGAGTGAGTTTGCAGTCACGTGACCCAATAGCAACACAGACGTCACCACCACGGCGCCTGTGCCAGGCTAGGTGCACGTTAAAAGCCACGTGAGGTGTCGAACGCCCGGCTAGCAGGAGGTTAATATCAGTCGAGTATTTACAATACAACTCAGTAGTACACTGGAATTGCAATCCAGAGTTTCAATGCCATGGTAAGGTCAAACATGAGGTTCCAATGGTGTAAATGCTTACCCCGAGCTCTCATACTCTGATGGTGCATTGTCTTTGAGTTGTGCGCCTTTTGGCGTCATCTGGTCCAACACCATGTGAGACTAGGCTCTAAGGAAAGCTGTCTCGGGTGTGGACCAATCAACTTAAAGGACAGTGCACATTATCAGAGTTATGTTTTTGTTTGCATTACGACCGCAGGTATTGTGGTCTATGCAAACATGACTCCTTGTAAAAAGGTGTCAGTTTTGTTGCCAGATAGAAGGGTATCAAAGTCAACCATTGTTTAGTTTTATTTGTGGATATATATATTTTTCGGTGATTTATTTTTTAGTGTCATCGTTTCTCGTTGTAACCCTCTGACCCCCGTGTCCTCGACTGGACATCCGGTGAAAAAAGAGCTTTGTAGCTCATCGGATTCCTTCTGCAGCCTCAATAAACATGATGATTCTGATGTGCGTTGAACTTCTTTCGCACCGTACGTAGCCAACCGTGCTAATCGGAGGCATAAATGACATGATGATGATATGTTTTCTTTTACCCGACCCCTTACGTGTCTTTTGCAGGCAGGAGGAGGGTAAGTAGACCACGCTGTTTGCCGTATACACAACCACCGACGCCTGCACAACAACAACAACAGCAGCAGCAGCAAACATCGCCGTTCATTAATTTGGATAATTTTCCTGCTCTTGAATAATTGGAATATCTTGTTGAGCCGTCTCACACACACACAGCAACGTGTGGCAGGACGGGCGGTGAAATCTCTGTCCCTACCCCCCCAGAGAGTCACGTGAAGTTCGGGTTCTCGGACGTCGCTCTGTGATATCCACTTCCGAATGGGGGGTGGGGGGGGAATAAAATTGGTAGAAAAATACATTAAGATAAAAGTACGCACACACACACACACAAAACAATGGAATCGTTCAGAGAGAGTACATTTCAGGCATCAAAAGCACAAAAACATCGCATTTAAACACATTCCTGCGGAGGGAGCTGGTAGGAACGTTGGGTTGCTCGGTCAATGGCCAGGGTCAACGGCGGCGTGGAATATTCCGCAAATAAGCCCGACTGTGAGGGCGGGCACAAGCCGGCGTGAGTAGGTTAAACGTTGAGTTTTATAAGGGCACCACGGGGTGACCAGCCCCACCCTCCCCACCCAGCCCCTCCCTCCCCACCCAGCCTCTCTCCACCCTCCCCACCCAGCCCCTCCCTCCCCACCCAGCCCCTCCCTCCCCACCCACCCAGCCCCTCCCTCCCCACCCAGCCCCTCCCTGCACGACGGAAACACGACGGAAACAATAATCCCCTGTGGGCTGGTGTAACCAGAGGCAGATGGAGGGGGGAGGGTGGGTGGCCGGTGATGGGGGGGGGGGGGCCGTGGTCCTTCCTGACATTTCAATCTTTCTGAAAGAGGGGGGCCCTGAACATCGACAATCGAAACGAGGTCCCCACGTTGCATCCATGGCCTCGTGGCGCGGTGGCGGTGGTGTTGGTGGTGGGGGGCGGACACAGCGGGGCGAGGGGGGAGGGGGTAAGATCACCCGTATGCCCCCCCCACCCCCCCGTGTCTTGGATCCGTGACCGCTCATCGCCGCGTTCCATGCTGTCAGCACCGCCGTCCTGTAGCTTGTAAAGTGCCTCTCGCGTTACCACTGCCCGCGTCGCCCGCCCGCCCCCCCGCAAGCACTGCCCTCAACAACCATTTGGGGGGCGGAGAGGGAGGCGTGGGGGGGGCGGAGGGGGCCTTACCCACGACCTAAAGCTGAGAAGTTCTACTCCAGTGCGGGCTCTGACGTGTGTGTCCCACGTGTGTGTCACACGTGTCTCGTGTGTGTCCCACGTGTGTCTCACGTGTGTGTCTGACGTGTGTCCCACGTGTGTGTCCCACGTGTGTGTCCCGTGTGTCCCATGTGTCCCACGTGTGTGTTTCATGTGTCCCACGTGTGTCCCACGTGTGTCTCGTGTGTGCTCCACGTGTGTGCCGCGCACGTCCCGTGTGTGTCCGTCTCGTGTTGTCCACGCTAAAGAGGAGACCGAGGAGGTTCCGGAAGCTGCGGAAGAAGCCGAGGATGCAGGAGAGGAAGGCGAGGGAGGTGACGAGGAAGGAGAGGAAGGTGAGGAACGCCTGTTCGTGTGTCGTTGTGTGTATCCATGTGTGCCGGGTCTGACGTGGGGTCAATGTCGTGGGGTCTGACGTGGGGTCAGTGTCACGGGGTCTGACGTCAGGACGTTTGCGTTTGCCTGTCAGCCCGTTACGGTTTAACGCCGTATGGGTTTACAGGTCCGCAGTAGTGTATAGCGTCGTGTATAGTTTTTAGTTTAGGTACTCATTTGAGTCGACCTAGGGGAGGCCCGGGACGGGTTCAGATAACCGTCACTGGTGTCGACTGTGAGCGGAAATCGAACCCGGGTCACCGGGTCAATCGCTCGCTCGCTGCTGCTGCTGCTACCCCCATGTGCTGTCCCTCCCCCCCTCCCGTGGCAATCACGATTTGACAACGGCCGATGCGACCCGCCGCAGATCTTAGCGTCGCCAAATCGCGGCAAACCTCGGCGGTTCCGTGGTAAATCCTAGCGCGTGCCCTACACGTAAATTTCCGCTTCGCCCCTTCGTAAGCGTCTCAGCGCCGTGTGAATGCCGCCTTGCCTGGTGTGATGCTCCCGGTTCTCCCGTGGTGAATGTCGCCTTGCCTGGTGTGATGCTGCCGCTTCTCCCGTGGTGAATGCTGCCTTGCTTGGTGTGATGCTACCGGTTCTCCCGTGGTGAATGTCGCCTTGCTTGGTGTGATGCTACCGGTTCTCCCGTGGTGAATGTCGCCTTGCTTGGTGTGATGCTTCTGCTTCTCCCGTGTTGAATGCCGCCTTGCTTGGTGCGTATGCTGCCCTGCCCACCTGCCTGCCGCTACCCTCTCCTCCTGGCTCCTTGTCACGTGACTCGGTGTCGATGTGCAGCCGTGGAGGAGGCACCAGCGGACGACGCAGAGGAAGGTAAATCCTCCCGGTGGCACGGGGCCGCCGAGATCATCGGGGGGGTGTCGCCGTGGCTATGAGATGTTAACCGCCTCGCCTGGTGTGCAGGAGGTCGTGGGTTCGATCCCGACCCTGACGATGCCTGCTGCTGTATATTTGGAGTTTGCATTTTCTCTCTCTCTCTCATCAATCATCATCATCACAGTGGCTAGGAGATGTTAACTACCTCGCCTGGTATGCAGGAAGTCGTGGGTTCAATCCCGACCCTGACGATGCCTGCTGCTGTATATTTGGAGTGTGCGTGTCTTTCTCTCTCTCTCCCAGTCGGTCGCGTGGATTATTGTCCGGGTCCTCCGTTTTTCCCCTCCACATTTAGAAATCGACATCACGCGTTTTTAGAGTATTCCCACGTGACGGTATGCCACTTTGTTGAGCTATTACTTGCGAAGGCCAGGTCGCTTCTGAAAAAGAGGTCTACAGTATAGCTCAGTGGGCCTTAGCTGGTAAAAGTTGCACATCGTTTGTCCATACTAGAGTTTTTTTTGGGGGGGTTAGATCGCGTAAATATATTAACGTGTCATTAAACCCGCCACCAACCGACGCAGCCAACTAGTAAGGGGTTTGTCATGGAAACAGAACGTGGCCAATTCGTTGCAAGTTCAGCACCCACCGGTTGTGTGTTGGAGAGTGAACTCACAACATTTACAATTCGACGTTTCGCAGGTAATTACAACCAGCCTCGTCAGGCGACAGCCAGATTTGTGCGCTGGAACCATTAACGAATTGCCACGTTCCGTGTTACGTGGCAAACCTCACTAATTGGCCGTGTCGGGGTGGTGGTGGCGGTGGGTTTAACGACACAACGTTCACTTTTAACGCGATCCAACCCAGAGAAAACTTCCCTCTAGCGTGGAAAATATTGTTCGCGAAAAGCCTACGACTACTTAGGTGCTTAGAAGAAAAACGAGTCTAGCTTGGTTTCCGTTGCCGTCGGACAGCGGACAGATATCTTCTTGGTTCTTTTGGTAAAGTCACGTAGAAGGGAAGTAATAAAATAATAAAAAATAAAACATAATAAAATAATTCTCACGACGTTTCGGCCACAACGCAAGCAGCCATCCTCAGGTGAAGCAGCCGTCCTCAGGTGAAGAATGAATTCTTCACCTGAGGACTGCTGCTTGCGTTGTGGCCGAAACGTCGTGAGAATTATTTAATGTTTATTTTTTATTATTTTATTACTTCCCTTCTACGTGACTTTACCGAAAGAACCAAGAAGATGAATCCCTGCAGTCACGAAAGCTTTAAATCGAAATTTAAAAGCGGACAGATACTTTTCGATTTAAAGCTTTCGTGACTGCAGGGATTCATCTTCTTGGTTCTTTCGGTAAAGTCACGTAGAAGGGAGGTAATAAAATAATTCTCACGACGTTTCGGCCACAACGCAAGCAGCCGTCACCTGAGGACGGCTGCTTGCGTTGTGGCCGAAACGTCGTGAGAATTATTTTATCATGTTTTATTTTTATTATTTTATTACCTCCCTTCTACGTGACTTTACCGAAAGAACCAAGAAGACGGACAGACACTAATGAGTCCCACCCCCCCGACGGATTATGATGTCAGGGCGGAGAGACGTAACGACGTGGCGGCGGACGCGCACGCAAAAACCCCACCGCCACGTTACACGTCCCGGGAGCGAGGGCTCTAATTGCTTCGACAAGCCGCAAGCCGTCGGGGGTCACCTCGCTAAATTTACACGGCGGCGTTCTTGGCGTGGCGGTGACGCCAGTGGCAAAAGTGGCCACGGCGGCAGGCAAAGTGGCGCTCGGTGGATATTCTGAATTGCAACCTTGGCAAAGGTCCTCTTCCCTCCTTCCCCCCTCCTCCCACCGGGAGGATCCAGGAGGAAGAGGAGGCAGAGAGGAGAGGAGAGAGGGGGGAGAGAGCGCGAGAGAGAGGGGGGAGAGTTCAGATGGTGGAGAGAGATGGGGAGAGAGATGGGGGAGAGAGATGGGGAGAGAGATGGGGGAGAGAGATGGGGGAGAGAGATGGGGGAGAGTTCAGAGATGGGGGAGAGAGATGGGGGGAGGGGAGAGAGATGGGGGAGAGAGATGGGGGAGAGAGATGGGGGAGGGAGAGAGATGGGGGAGAGAGATGGGGGAGAGAGATGGGGGAGAGAGAGAGAGTGAGCTAGAGGGGGGGTTACATAGAGCCCAGTAAAAAAAAAAATTACGAAATGATGAACGAAACAAAGTTCCGAATACACCGAGCATCTTATTGTTTCCACTGATCATAAAAAAAATAGGAGAGAGAGGGGAGAGAGGGGGGAGAGATCAGAGAGAGAGGAGGGAGGGAGGGAGCTCTGTGGTCCGTGAGCGAGGCGTTGATGACGAGGTTATTTTTGAGATGATGCAGCCTTTGCGGGGGGGGGCTGGGGGAGGCATTAGAAGGGAATGGGGGGGGGGGTGACATCACCGCTTTTTGAGAAGTGGGTGGGAACCTAAGTTGGTCATGAGATAATTTGGGGGGGTGGAGTGGGGGGGGGTGAGTGGGGGGGGGGTGGAGTGGGGGGGGGGTGGAGTGGGGGGGGGGTGGAGTGGGGGGGGGGTGGAGTGGGGGGTGGAGTGGGGGGAGGGGGGTGGAGTGGTGGGGGCTACTCTTAAGTTTTAAAAATATGCACGCAGCGTGAGGCAATCGGAGTCCTAAAATTAAACGGCACGCGCATATGAATGTCACCTGTTTATTTTGAGTTCAACAAGTTTTTTTTGCATTTTTTTTCTTCTTCAAGTTTTCCACTTACCGTTGTTTTGCTGCCTTTATCTAATTGGCACACCAGGGTCATTGGACAAAGTTAAACGGTCGGGAGACGAGAGGAGGTTTGTTTGGCCCACACTCGCAGGGTAGGGCCCAGCCTGTCCCGACTGATCTCAGGGTAAAGTCCTCCTATCATGGGACCTTTTTTTAAATCCTTTATATTAAGTTCACTTGCTTGCTTGCTTGCGCGCTTACGACCGTGCAAATCTTTCTGTCGTTTTTTAACCCACTTCCCGTGCACACAGACTCGTTGTGTGTGACAATTTATTTTCGTGAAAATCTTTTTTTCCATAACTTTACACTTTTTAGGGAAAAAAATATTATATTTAATTACCAATTGTTTAATGGTGGCAGGCAATCATCTGACCCATAGGTGGCAGCCATCTCAAGCCAGAGGACGAGAGGACTCTAGCCACCACGCATATAAAGGATTTAGAGTGAAAAACTTTGTTTTACGGGTAAATTTTTTCCAGTCAGTTTCAAAAATATATATATTTTTTTCAAGGCACGTTTTTTGTTTTGTTTGCATGTTCACCGCAAGTACCGTGCTTGGTTAAGGCAGTACTTTATTCCTTGCGAAAGGTTTCTATTTGGTTATTTGAACATATAAACACCTGTTTTATTACATACTCTTTGGTTCTTTCGGTAAAGTCACGTAGGTATAAAAAAAAAAATGTAATCACGATGTTTCGGGCGCAACACAAGCGTCCGTCACCAGGTGGGACAACCACGGCAAGAAACAATTTCTGAAGTGGGCAAAAGAGAAAGGGTAAAATCTTATATTTCATAAAGTTCTCTCATTGAGCAAAGGCAGCTTTTGGTAACTTGGCAAAGCTCTGAATTTTTCCCAAGGGCACTGAAAGTCACAGCATTTAATAACAAGAATAATTAACGTTTGCAAGGTGCATTTCATCCGTGTAAATCCTTGACGCGATTTGGATGTACGATGAACACAACGCAATATACAGGGGCTCCTTACGAACGAGTTGGGTTCCAGAGGTCTGTTCGTGAGTCGATTTGTTTGTCAGTCCAACTTACACACACGCGCCAGAACCAATCCACCAGACCTCGTGTATTCCACATAGGTCCAGGTGGGGAATGGGTTTAGACGTTGTATAATCTGTAGATGTAGATGCCACTGGTTCTTCACGTTCTGTAGATGTAGATGCCACTGGTTCTTCACGTTCTGCAGATGTAGATGCTACTGGTTATTCAGGTTCTGCAGATGTAGATGCCACGGGTTCTTCACGTTCTATAGATGTAGATGCCACTGGTTCTTCGCGTTCTGTAGCTGTAGATGCCACTGGTTCTTCGCGTTCTGTAGATTTAGATGCCACTGGTTCTTCGCGTTCTGTAGATGTAGATGCCACTGGTTCTTCACGTTCTACAGATATAGATGCCACTGGTTATTTATGTTCTGTAGATGTAGATGCCACTGGTTCTTCATGTTCTGTAGATGCCACTGGTTCTTCACGTTCTGTAGATGTAGATGCCACTGGTTCTTCGCGTTCTGTAGATGTAGATGTCACTGGTTCTTCACGTTCTGCAGATGTAGATGCCACTGGTTCTTTACGTTCTGCAGATGTAGATGCCACTGGTTCTTCACGTTCTGCAGATGTAGATGCCACTGGTTCTTCACGTTCTGCAGATGTAGATACCACTGGTTCTTCACGTTCTGCAGATGTAGATGTCACTGGTTCTTCACGTTCTGCAGATGTAGATGCCACTGGTTCTTCACGTTCTGCAGATGTAGATGTCACTGGTTCTTCACGTTCTGCAGATGTAGATGCCACTGGTTCTTCACGTTCTGCAGATGTAGATGCCACTGGTTCTTCACGTTCTGTAGATGCCACCGCCGCCGTCTATTGCGCGGTGGTTGAACTTGTTCCGGAAGGGCAATTGGACATACTGACATGTTTGTTTGTATCTCTGAAGGTTCGTAAGTGGAATGTTCGTTAGTCGATGAGCCCCTGTATATAAAACTTGGCATTAATGTTGACGTGCCGACGCAAGACACTGCAGTTGCCCATGGGCAGGCTTTGACCAGCTGCACTGTCTGGTTTGTGACCTTGCCATCCCCTGCCAGCTCACCGCCACCAACCGAATGTCAAGAATGCGTTTGTTTATTATTGGACGCATGCGAGGCACGCAACCGCAGCGCCACGTGGCAAAACGCTCCGTTGGAACCGGCTTCAACTGGCCCAGAGCGTTTGTCATGGGCTTTCGTGACAAAAAGAGCTTTAAAGCTCATAGGATTCCACAGTACAAATGCGTATTTTGATTCTGTATGCGTTTGTTTAATGGGCAACGTAATTATTACAAACGCACAATACTTAATAAACATTAGCCCAGAAGGACGACAAGAAATGTTGTTTAATTTAAATGTGACCCACTATCCTCCATGGTGGTCAACACACTGGACTTGCAATCCAGAGTGGCAGGTGAGAAACGATGTTACAAACTTGATTTGAAGCTTTCGTGACTGCAGGAATTACTCTTTGGTTCTTTCGGTAAAGTCACGTAGAAAGAAAATAAATTAAGTAATAGAATACGACGTTTCGATTGCAACACAAGCAACCGTCATCAGTATACTTTCTCATCCGTCGCAATTTAAATGCTTTGTGCACGATATATATATACACACCGATGCCACACGCATCTGTGAGCGTGGCAGTGAGAACCACAATTGGAGTCGATTGTCAGACGACTCGTGCTGCGGCAAAGTGAAAGAGCAGAGCTCGCAGACTGCGTCTCGAGGGCCCCACCTCCCCTCCTGCCCCCCCCGTGGGTAGAAGCCCCTTGCACCCACAGTGGTATTGTGAGCAAGCGCTCGCAAAGAAGGAGGGCCGCAACACTCGCCGTGCACACGTGGCGAGCGACCTTCAATCATTTCGCGTTCCATCAAGCGGCCGTGTCACGCGGCGGCGGGGGGCGGGGCTTGGTGGTCACGTGTGTGTGTGTGCGCGCGTCACGCAGGGGTGGTCACGTGTGTGTGCGCGTCACGCGGGGGTGGTCACGTGTGTGTGTCACGCGGGGGTGTCACACAATGGGCTCGTGACGTCACGGCGAGTAATGGCGGTCGTCATCGTCGGACGGCGTGGTGGTGGTGGGGGGGAGGTTTTAACGAGGGGGCTTAAGGGGGTGGGGGAGGTTTTAACGAGGGGGCTTAAGGGAGTGGGGGACAGCACGGGTTGCTGGGGGAGGGAGGGTGAATTGAAGGTGGTCGTTGAGCTCGTAAGCAGAGGTGTGGACTCGAGTCATGTGACTTGGACTCGAGTCAGACTCGAGTCATGAATTTGATGACTTCAGACTCGACTTGGACTTGCATAACAATGACTTTGTCCCACCTCTGCTCGTAAGAGATGGCAAAATAAACCACCCTCATTATCACCGCCACCTTGTCATCATCACCACCACCCTCTCAACATCATCACCACCTTCTCATCATCGTGAATGGCTCTTGCGGAGGCACGGATATGACCCTTGGATTGTTGTTGTCTTTCGTTTTTGTTGTTTTGGCGACCCGATATCTTACGCTCGCGCTCGGCGCGCAGGATCGTGCACGAGGTTTTGCCAAAACAAACAAGAAATGAGACCCCCTTCAAACTGATGCCGATGCTCGGGGTTACGGTTTTGGTCTCGGAGAGAGGAAAAAAAACGTAACAATGCAAAAGGAATGATGGTTATCATTTTTATTTCAAACTTAACAATGCAAAAGGAATGATGGTTATCATTTAAAAAAGGAATGATGATTATCATTTTTTTTTAAAACGTAACAATACAAAAGGAATGATGGTGATCATTTAAAAAAGGAATGATGATTATCATTTTTTATAAACGTAACAATACAAAAGGAATGATGGTGATCATAAAACAAAAGAGACACATTTTTTATTGTTGTTGTTCGACGCTCGAACCGAATCACAATGCCAGAATTGTGACAATCCAAAAAGACAGATCCAACCACCGCCGCTGGGCGGATTGTCGTGTGAAGTGTCTCCCCCCCCCCCCCCCCCCCCGGTTTTCCACAACCGGCTCCCAGTGGGTTGTGTCAAAACGTTGCACGGACGCACACACAACACCATCATCTGATTGTTGATGTTGCCTCTGTCCATAATAATGTATTGTGTATATTATGGATAATATTGTGTCGTGAAAGCCTCCGTGTGAAATGTTGCTTCGTGTCGTGTGTGCGTGGGTGTGTGCGTGTGCGCATGACCCCCCCCCCCCCACCCACTCCGCTCCACTCTTTTTGGTTGTGTAAAATTTCATAATCTAGGTTTTTGGGTTTAGATCGCGTTATTTATAAATGTGTCGTAACCCTCCACCACCCGACACGGCCAAACAGTAAAAAATGTGTCACGTTTTCAAAGGACAAATTAATTGACTTCTTTAGCCAACCGGTGTGTGCTGAAGAGAGAATCAACAGCATTTTAAATTTGAGTAGTACGACGTTTCGCTGATAATTACAATCAGCTTCATCGGGCAAGAATGGTGAAGCTCTCCTGTCGCTTCCGGCCTTGAATAGTGGAGGGTTACGACACAGCTATAAATAACGCGATCTGACCCAAAAACCTATACTATGAATAATATTGGTCGTGAAAGCCTACGTGTAAAATTGTGTAAAATTTGTCTTGCAAATTTTTGTCAAATCCGTTTCATGTTTTTTATTTTTCCCCTTCTCCTCTCGTTCGGTTCGTTCATCCTCCCGGGTCTCGCAACCGAAAGAAGCTGCCCGCCCGGAGGCAGAGAGGGTTGTGGCCTCGGCCGAGATTGAGCCGGAGGGAGACGCGGCGGTAACGCTTGATGCGGTGGAACAAGGTAGAGAGAGCCACCGCTCCCCTCTCCACACAAACCTCTCGCCCTCTTCAAGACGGGCAAAATAACCAAAGCAAAGCCACTCGTCGCGCGTTCGTCAATAACGGGGTGAACGTAACCGCCGCAGCGCCTTAAGGGAGGACACGCGTTAAGGGAGAAGCACGGTTTTTTATCTTCTTGGTTCTTTCGGTAAAGTCGCGTAGAATGGAAATATTAAAATTAAAATAAAACATAATAAAATCATTCTCACGACGTTTCGGCCACAACTCAAGCAGCCGTCCTCAGGTGGAGAACAGGTCTGTCGAGAAGACAGAGTCTGACAGACCTGTTCTCCACCTGAGGGCGGCTGCTTGCGTTGTGGCCGAAACGTCGTGAGAATTATTTTATTATGTTTTATTTGTATTATTTTATTATTTCCCTTCTACGTGACTTTACCGAAAGAACCAAGAAGATGAATCCCTGCAGTCACGAAAGCTTTAAATCGAAAAGAGAAGCACGTTTTTCGGGAAAACGATTTTAAATAGTTTTTAGTTTTTGTTTAGTAGCAACAGAGAGACGGAATGAGAGGGCACACGGCGTGGAAAACAAGAGACGGGGGAGAATCGGACTTGTTTCACGCGATGAGAAATTCGAATTTCCGATCGACGTTTTGCCCATAAGGCGCGCGCAGGGCGTTGCTGTTGTTGTTGACGAACGTGCCGAGCGTTGTTGTTGTTGTTTATTTGTTGTCGTTTGTTGATTTGTTTGTGCGCCACTGCCATCGTTGCAGCTGCTGCTGCAGTAGCAGCGGTGGCTGTGTCGCCGAACAATGGTTTTGATTAACCGTTTTCAAAAAAGCAAAACATTTGCAACGGCTGCAGTGTGACCTCGGGTTTGCTACTAACACGGCGATATAACGATATCACGATATCACGATATCACGATACCACAATATTGCGATATCACGATACCACGATATCACGATACCATTGCGTTACTATACAACATCCACGGTCGTCATTGTCATCATCAGTTGTCGGGAAAATTGTCAAATCGGGATTTTGCGGTCGCTCTGAATCGTCCTCCTTGACCCTTGACCTTGCGGGCGAGGTCCGTACGAGATCACAAACGTGACGGTTAAAGTGGCGAATGAATAGCCTTTGTCAATTTTAACGCGTTTTTATTTATTTATTTTATATCCCGGGGTAATTCAAGGCAAGGAAACGATGAAGAACGTCATTTTCTGCAATCATTTTTTTTATTTTCTGCTCGGCGGTCGGCATTGTGCGTCTGATTCAACGGATGACATCGTCTCGACAAACCGCTGCTTACGTGGCGTGCGGAAGAACAACAAAGAGGGGGCCGTGTGAATTGCACCACCCTCGTCGCGCTGATTTGGCACTAGAGGTGGGGGATATTTTCCACACAAGTGACGATTACAGTCGGTCGCTCGTTGTGGTCGGTGAAAGCGCGCGCTAATATTTTCACGCGGTATAATAAATACCGCTAAGTTGTTAACGTGTGGCAGTCCCAAGGTGGACAGCTGTTCGCTCCCTCCCCTGGTGTGCAGGAGGTCGTGGGTTCGATCCCGACCCCGACGCCTGCTGCTGTATATCTGGAGTTTGCGTCTCTCATCATCATCACGGTGGCTAGGAGATGTTAACTACCTCGCCTGATGTGCAGGAGGTCGTGGGTTCGATCCCGACCCCGACGCCTGCTGCTGTATATTTGGAGTTTGCGTCTCTCATCATCATCACGGTGGCTAGGAGATGTTAACTACCTCGCCTGGTACGCAGGAGGTCGTGAGTTCGATCCCGACCCTGACGCCTGCTGCTGTATATTTGGAGTTTGCGTCTCTCATCATCATCACGGTGGCTAGGAGATGTTAACTACCTCGCCTGGTATACAGGAGGTCGTGGGTTCGATCCCGACGCCTGCTGCTGTATATTTGGAGTTTGCGTCTCTCATCATCATCACGGTGGCAAGGAGATGTTAACTACCTCGCCTGGTACACAGGAGGTCGTGGGTTCGATCCCGACCCTGATGCCTGCTGCTGTATATCTGGAGTAGTGTCTCCTCCCCGTGGTCGTGGATTTCGCACCTCCGATTAGTACGGCCGGCTACGTGCGGCGCGAAAGAAATTCAACGCACGCACGTACATGCGTGCGTGTCCCAGGTGTGGCCGTTAAGACTTTATCGTACGCATATAAATGTTGTATTGGGAAGCGTTGATACAACGCCGCGTCACGTGTTGGTCGGGGCCCCGCCGCCAAGGTGGAGTGCCCTTACCAATGGCAATGGCTGCGAACCCAGCAGCTCGGCACTACGGCTCATGAGATAACGTCGATCGGTTGATGAATTGAAGATGTGTTCCACTTTTTATTCCGAGAGATGACCGGATTGGGGGCGAGTTAAATTCCACTGGGAATTAATTTTTTCGGGGTACAGCGAGATAATGAATTGGTTAGCCAAATAATGCTCTCAAGATTGCACTTCTCAAAGCGAGGAACTGCAGTTAATTGTTTGAGAGGCAATATTTTTTGGGGGGGTTAAAAAAACGTGTGTTTTTTTTTTTACAATTTAAATTCTCTTTGCGGTCAGGGTTAGCGTCGCCGAGATGTTGAGGGATGAATTATTGCATCGTGGTAGAAGTGACAGATGGACGGTGGATCGGGGTGGGGGGGGGGCTGAGTTTCTTCAATTCCTTCGTCGCACAGGTCGGTTTATTCCGAGTGCATTGGGGTGAACTGTGGATGACCACCCACCGCATGCAATACGCCTGCAACAGCCCGCCTGCAAGAGAGCGGGCGAACGATAAGCCGCTGGGGGGAGCCCCCCCCCCTCGCCTTTAGAGCTGCCCACCAGCGGGTAGGGCCCGTTCTGGCGGCAGTCACGCAAATTAGCAGGGGGGGCCTCGGCTAAAAGTGGTCCAACTATAGATACCCCACCCGGTAAGCCGCTCACCGTGGCATTCTGTAAACATCCCTCCTCAATCCCTGACAGTTTCCCCGGACCCCCCTCTTCTCCGCCCGGAGCAGTTTTGTTAAAAACAAAAAATGAGTCTTCAAATCCGAGTCGCCAAATTCGCGTCGCAGTTTGGACCGCGGAGTTGAGGGGGGTTCTGGGAAATCGGCGGGGTATCTTCAAATGGATCGCCCTACATGCGGGGGCGTCTTTACTCTTTGTGTATTCGTAATCGAGGTTTTTTTTGTTGGGGTTAGATCGTGGAAATATATAAATGTGTCGTTAAACCCGCCATCACCCGGCACAGCGAACTAGTGCAAGGTTTCTAGATTTGAAGCTTTCGTGACTGCAAGGATTCATACTCTTAGGTTTTTTTTTACTTTACCGAAAAAACCTAAGAGTATATAGTGCAAGGTTTGTCACGTAAACAGAACGTGGCCAATTTGTTACTGGTACAGCGCTACACCGGTGTGTTGGAGAGCAAATCCACAACGTTTACGACGTTTCGCCAGTAATTACAACCGGCATCATCAGGCGACGGCCAGATTTTACTAATTGGCTGTGTCGGGTGGTGGTGGCGGGTTTAACGACACATTTATATTTACGCGATCTTACCCATTTTTTTTTTAATGATGAACAACATTGCTCGCGAAAAGCCGACACGCTTATTATTCTTAACCGTGAGCGCATTCACTGACCTCGTGAGCACGCGCGGCAATTTCGCCGCACTTTTGCAGAACTTTGTGGTTCACTCGCGGTCCAGCCGCCTACTCGTGCGCGGTGACGTAACTCACTTACTTACAGATGTTCTCACATGCCCGCCCGCCCGCCCGCCCGCCCGCACCTCCGTTCCCGGAGAGAGTCGTATGCGCGGCGGCACATTGCACGCCACGTGGCATTCGATGTTTCAACAACAGATCAAATTTTGATTTTAAACTTTCGTGACTGCAGGGATTCATATTCTTGGTTCTTTCGGTAAAGTCACGTAGAAAGAACCAAGAAAATTGAAACCTGGTATTGGCCAAACATCCAAAAAAATTTACCTGCAAATTCCTCAGTCGGAATGACACGTAGAAGGGAAAAAATAATAATAATAAAAATATAAAATTCGCACGACGTTTCGACTGCAACACAAGCAATCATCATCAGGTGTGAAATCCACAGCAAGAAAATTTGAATTTTTTTTTCCCTTCTACGTGACTTTACCGAAAGAACCAAGAATATGACAGCTAAACCGTCACATCTGTACATTGGTTTACGGCGTGCAATGCGTTTCCGGTAATCGAACGTTCGCGCGATGTTTTCCCCGGTCGCGTTGTCGATAATCCTCTTTAACACCTTGCCGATGTTCACAACGTTCTACGCTAAACATCGGTCACTGAGCGTGCGTGTCGAGTGTGCACGTGGCGCGTCGGGTTTGAAGCGAAACTAACACGAAGGGTCAAACATAGCAGCAGAGCACGCCATGCTGGCGAGAAGACTGGGTAGGCACGCTTGGTGGAGGGGTAGCATTGAAGTACGATGAGTCCTCGCTTAGCGGTGCCGATTTTTTTCTCCATCGTTTGGAACAATTGTCGCACGAGGCGGATCGCGCGCCGTTATAACGCACGATCGTTACAACGTGCGCCGTTACAACGCACACATTTGTTACGTTACAACGCGCGGCGTGCCCTCCGTGGCGGCAGTGACATCGCATCTCGCCAAACTCTTACCGTCCCCATGTGATATTTACGGGGGGGGGGGGGGGGGGAGGGAGTTCGTTTGATTCCACTCCGTGCTATCCTGCGCCCGCTACGAGCGCGTTAAATCGAGGATCAAAAAGTGTCGTGCGCGAATGTCACGTTGCCCTCTGCTGACCTTTGTCTGACCCTTCCCCTCTCTGCGGCGCGGCTACTGGATTCGCTGCACCCCCCCTCTCACCCCCCCGTGCCCCCCCCCAGAGGAAGGTAAGTCGTATTCGCGGGCCTTGATTGTCCCCGGCCGTGGTCTATCCGTTGCTGCTCGGACGAGGGCCCCCCCCACCCCCGCCTCGTAGCCGTCGTCGCGTCTTCTGGCGCTCCTCCCGCGCCACGGACGATCTCGGTCTCGACGTGCGCACGTTGAACTGCTTTCGCGCCGTACGTAGCCGTCCGCGCTTATCGAAGGTGCGGCAGATTGCTCCATCTCCCCGGTGGGACAGCGCCACCCCCCCCCCTCGCCCCTCTCTTTGGCTGCCACTCCGTCGTTAGTCCTGACCGCCGGCCACCCGCCCGCCAGCCCGACCGCCCGCCGGTCAGTCGTCCGCTTCTAGACACGACGCGTCCTGTCCAAGCCACTTAAGATGTCTTGACAACATCAACGAGCTGCACGATGCCGCGGCGTCCTTCGTGCGCCTGGCTCTCTCCGCCGCGTAATAAATGAAAGGATTTGTTCGGCACAATCAGTCCCCCCCCCCCCCCCCCCACGGCTGTCTGGGAGTGTGTCAATTCAGCAGCTTTGATTCAGGACAAGCAAAACACTGCACCGGTAAATATAGTGACTCGACCATCCTCTGATCCTCGCCGATTTTTCTTTGCACACTTTTCCACCTTTGTCCAGTTTCCTTTGACGAGTTGTCGCAATTCAGTGCCAGTTTTTATTTATTCATTGAGGACCACCGACCGGCCTTGCCATTTTTCAAATATTTATATTTTTTTACCACCGAATTCGGGGCAAAAACAAAGAATGATCGCTGTTGTCGTTATTTTGGTTGCCGACCCCTGACTCCCCCCCCCCCCCCCCCCCCCCCAACGACCCCCCCCCCTCCGACCCGGAGGAGATGGAGCAGTGAAATTAATTGGATCGTCGTGCGTGGAGCAGAGCGGATGCCGGGCGGATTAATAATAATGATAAAAGCGCCTTTCGTGTTGAAGTATCTCAGAAAGCGCCGTACGCAAGCAATGCAACTACACTCGCAAATGCCGATGAAACATAAGCGAAATAGAAAGGCGCCAATAACGCTATCAATAACTGCTCCCTAAATTAAACCGAGAACTACGGTAGATTTCGATTTAAAGTTTTCGTGACTGCAGGGATTCATCTTCTTGGTTCTTTCGGTAAAGTCACGTAGAAGGGAAATAATAAAATAATAAAAATAAAACATAATAATATAATGTGAGAGGTGGCGACGAATTGTGAGAACCTTCTTCCAGCAGTGGATCGATCACGGCCGCGGATGATGATGATGTATCGCTAACACGACTTCGAATTTGTCTTAACGATACATCGGGTTTCGTCTTGCAGAGCATTTACAATTTGTGTTCCGCCAATGTCAAAACATTTTGTCTTTTTTGTGTTCGTGGGGGGAGTGAAACGTGAAATGTTTTCGTCGTTCTAACGTCAATTTGCTGTCCGTCGTCTCTCTTGCAGAAGAAGAGAGGCCAAAGCCAAAGTGAGTATGCTGAACACGCACGGATTATGCGCACGGGGACTCATTTTTGGTTCTTTCGGTAAAGTAACGTAAATAGAAAACAAAAAAAGAACAATTTTTTTGAAAAATTTAATACAAATTCTGAATTAAAATTACACATTTAAATAATACAAGTAAAATATATATATATATAAAATGACAAAAGCAAAAAAACCCACAATAAAAATTGTAAAATAAAATAAAAAATTAGAAAACATTTTTTTTAAATAATAAAAGCAAAAAAACCACGACGTTTCGATCGCAACACAAGCGGTCATCATCAGGCGGAGATAAAAAATTATCCTCCGGTTATGGACATTCAACTTGCGAACGCTCAACCTGGGTCCCTGATGTCCAGTTCCAACGGAGCGTGTCTGCCACGTGGCGTTGCGGTTGCGTGCCTCGCATGTGTCCAATAATAAACAAACGCATTCTTGACATTCGGTTGGTGGCGGTGAACTGGCAGCGGATGGCAAGGTCACAAACCAGACAGTGCAGCTGGTCAAAGCCTGCCCATGGGCAACCGCAGTGTCTTGCGTTGGCACGTCAACATTAATGCCAAGTTTTATATACAGGGGCTCATCGACTTACGAACATTCCACTTACGGACCTTCAGAGATACAAGCAAACATGTCAGTATGTCCAATTGCCCGTTCGGACCAAGATTCATAAGTTCAACTGCCGCGCAATAGACGGCGGTGGTGACATCTACAGAACGTGAAGAACCAGTGACATCTACATCTGCAGAACGTGAAGAACCAGTGGCATCTACATCTGCAGAACGTGAAGAACCAGTGGCATCTACATCTGCAGAACGTGAAGAACCAGTGGCATCTACATCTGCAGAACGTGAAGAACCAGTGGCATCTACATCTGCAGAACGTGAAGAACCAGTGACATCTACATCTGCAGAACGTGAAGAACCAGTGACATCTACAGAACGTGAAGAACCAGTGGCATCTACATCTGCAGAACGTGAAGAACCAGTGACATCTACATCTGCAGAACGTGAAGAACCAGTGGCATCTACATCTGCAGAACGTGAAGAACCAGTGGCATCTACATCTGCAGAACGTGAAGAACCAGTGGCATCTACATCTGCAGAACGTGAATAACCAGTGGCATCTACATCTACAAAACGCGAAGAACCAGTGGCATCTACATCTACAGAACGTGAAGAACCAGTGGCATCTACATCTGCAGAACGTGAAGAACCGGTGGCATCTACATCTGCAGAACGTGAAGAACCAGTGGCATCTACATCAGCAGAACGTGAAGAACCAGCGGCATCTACATCTGCAGAACGTGAATAACCAGTGGCATCTACATCTACAGAACGTGAATAACCAGCGGCATCGATATCTGCAGAACGTGAAGAACCAGTGGCATCGACATCTGCAGAACGTGAAGAACCAGTGGCATCGACATCTGCAGGAGAAGATACAACTTTTAAAGCGACTTGGCTATCGCAAGCGATAGCTCAACGACGCGGGCTTATCGTCGCGTGGAAATTTATAGCAGCAGCCGCACCACTCTAAACGCGTGACGTCCATTCTAAATGTGGAGGACCCGGAAAAATACACGCGACCACGGGGAAAACACGCAAACTCCAAATATACAGCAGCAGCAGGCGTCAGGGTCGTGGTCGAATCCACGACCTCCTACATACCAGGCGAGGTAGTTAACATCTCATAGCCACCGTGATGATGATGAGAGATGCAGATTAAAAATATACAACAGCAGGTGTCATGGTCGGGATCGAACCCACGACCTCCTGTGCACCAGGCGAGGTAGTTAACAAGCCACTACATTTACAATCTCAAGCACGACGTCTCGCCGGTGATCACAACGCAGCATCTTCAGACTTGTGCGTCCTCACTTGATGCAGCAAGTCTGGCTGTGACGGTCCCACCTGATGACGGAGACTTGTGTTGCCTCCGAAACGGTCGTTATTTTTGTATTCATTAAAATTTTTACCCACGTGACTTTACCGAAAAAACTAAGAGTATTGTACATCGTCGTCGTCGGCGGGTTTGACCGCAGCCTAACGCTCCCTGCTTCTCGGCATCTTCCCGCAGGCCGTTCGCTCCGCCGCAAATGCAGATGCCCAAGATGCCCGAGGGAGACAAAGTGGACTTCGACGTGAGAACCCCCTGGGGACACCGAACGCTCGCCGCGTGCACATTCACCGCGGGGCCGATGGGAACCGTGGCCAATTACGGGGGGGGGGGGGGGGGGGGGGGGGGGCTGTGATCCGCTCGGCGTCATCCGGGGTGGTCGCTGAGTGGCGGAGTGGTCAGCTTGGCTGCCCTCCGTGTTGACTGCCCCCCCTCGACTGCCCCCCCCTCGACTGCCCCCTTGACTGCCCCCCTCGACTGCCCTCCCCCTCGACTACCCCCCCCTCGACTGCCCCCCCCCTCGACTGCCTCCTTGACTGCCCCCCCTCGACTGCCCTCCCCTCGACTGCCCCTCCCCCTCGACTGCCCCCTTGACTGCCCCTCCCCCTCAACTGCCCCCATGACTGCCCGGCCCTCGACTGCCCCCTTGACTGCCCCTCCCCCTCAACTGCCCCCATGATTGCCCGGCCCTCGACTGCCCCCTTGACTGCCCCTCCCCCTCAACTGCCCCCTTGACTGCCCGGCCCTCGACTGCCCCCTTGACTGCCCCTCCCCCTCAACTGCCCCCTTGACTGCCTGGCCCTCGACTGCCCCCTTGACTGCCCCTCCCCCTCAACTGCCCCCTTGACTGCCCGGCCCTCGACTGCCCCCTTGACTGCCCTCTGCCCCCACCCCCCCACCCCCGCAGGACCTGCACCGCAAGCGCATGGAGAAGGACCTGGGTGAGCTGCAGACGCTGATCGCCGCTCACTTTGAGAAGCGTCAGAAGGAGGAGGAGGAACTCATCGCTCTCAAAGCCAGGATCGTGAGTCGCGGCGCGTTCAACGTTTTTAGTTTTTGTTCGGTTTCCCTCCCTCGGCGTTTTCACCGCCACCACCAATACCACCACCACCCGCCACCCATGCCCCACGACGATGCTGACCGTCCACCCTTATTCCCCAGGGTTGCTTTAGGCTCTGAAATTTTAAATGCGGCGCATGAACCATGGCGCTAAGTTCAAGTTCAAGTTCTTTTATTTGGTATGGCCCTGTGAGCCATTCGGCTCTTGAATCGGGTGCAACCGCAACAAACAAAAAACATGAACAAAAAACATCTTAAAGTGAATATGTGACTGAGTGCAAACAGAAAATCCAAGAAAAGACTAAAAAATATTTGCAGAAAAAGCACCGTACACAAAAATGTGCAAAAATCCCAGTGGGATGCAAGTCAAACAACAACAACCACAAGGCAACTTAGATTAAGGCCATCAGTCTAACTCTGTACTACAACAAACAAACATGGCCAAACCAAAAAACGTATCGAAAATCACCAAAATAAAGCCATAAAAGCAATGAAACAGTGGTCATAGGAACTGTGACCGAATTTTCACAATAGTCAACGTCGCGAAAACGAAACCAACTTCCCTCTCCCGTGTCTCTCGCTGCTTCTCTCCCCGTCTCCTGTACCGCGTGTCTCTCGGTCTCTGCTTGTCCATCTTCACGGCTCTCTCCACCACACATCTCTCCATCTCCCGTACCGCGTCTCTCTCCGTTTCCCTCTGTCCACACATCTGCGTGCGTCTCTCTCTGCTTCTCTATCTCCACACATGTCCTGCGCCGTCTCTCTCTCTTTCTCTCTCTCTCTCCCCCCCCCCCCCCCCCCCAATCTGCTATTTGCCAACCACAAGGTACAAAATACGCCGGGGTCATATCGCGGGGAATAAAAACGACGTACCTCGCGATCTCGCGAGAGGGTCGGACTGCGCGTTGACGCGTCGCCTCGACGGCAGAACCCGCGACTTCCAAACTGCTCCGTGGGAAGACCGTCGGGATTTCCCAGGACAGAGACGAGTCTGTGGTTGGGGGGGGGGGGAGACGCGGGGCAGGTGGCAACCCGAGCGAGCGGGGATCGTGAGCGAGCGCGTTTGAAAGCGGCGCGCCGCCCGCCCTCTTTGTGCCCCGCAGGAGAAGCGCCGCTCGGAGAGATCGGAGCAGCAGCGGATCCGCGCCGAGAAGGAGAAGGACCGCCTCGTGCGACAGGCGGTCAGTAGCGCTCCTCACTCGCTCGCTCCCTCGCTCACCCACTGCCTCGCTCACCCACTCCCTCACTCGCTACCTCCCTTGCTCTCTTGCTCCCTCACTCCCTCACTCACCCACTCCCTCACTCGCTACCTCGCTCACTCGCTCTCTTACTCCCTCACTCACTCCATCGCTCGCTACCTCGCTCACTTACTCCCTAACCAACTCCTTCACCCACTCCCTCCCTCACCCACTCCCTCGCTCACCCACTCCCTCACCCACTCCCTCACTCGCTACCTCACTCACTCTCTTACTCACTCTCTTACTCCCTCACCCACTCCCTCAACAACTCCCTCGCTCGCTTACTCCCTCACTCACTCCATCGCTCACACCCTCACTCGCTCGCTCCCTCTCTTACTCACTCCCTCACCCACTCCCACGCTCGCTCCCTCGCTCACCCACTGCCTCGCTCACCCACTCCCTCACCCACTCCCTCAACAACTCCCTCCCTCGCTCTCTTACTCCCTCGCTCACCCACTGCCTCGCTCACCCACTGCCTCGCTCACTCCCTCCCTCACCCACTCCCTTACTCGCTACCTCACTCACTCGCTCACCAACTCCCTCACCCACTCCATCGCTCACCAACTCCCTCACTCCCTCACTCGCAGCAGCTTTACGCGTCCAGCAGGTGTCGGAACCCTGAGCCGTTGCTGGGCCGTTCCATTGGACAATGCATTTAAAAATATATATATATGTATATGACCAGGTAAGGCCCCACTGAGCTGTATATCTATTTTTAAGAAGCCACCTGGCCACAAATGATAGCTCACCGAAGCGGCTTATCGCGTCGAGATTTATAACAGCCAAATACTCCACGCAGCCACAGGGCTAGAAATACGCAAACTCCAAATACACAGCAGCAGGCGTCAGTGTAGGGATCGAACTCACGACCCTCCTGTATACCAGGCGAGGCAGCTAACATCTCCTCGCCACCGCGTCGCCCCGATGTGCCCCGTGACTTCCCGTGCGCTCACACGTGGCCACGTGTGCCGTGAACCTTCCCCGTGCGCTCCCAGCGTTCCGCCCGCCGCAGCAGCGCGTTGAAGGCTCCGCGTGGCACCTTTGTCTCTTCCGCAGGAGGAGAAGGTGCGGAAGGAGGAGGCGGACATGAAGCGGAGGGGGGATGACGACGCCAAGAAGCGCAAGGTGTTGACGGACAGGACGGCGCAGTACGGAGGGTACCTCGCAAAGGTAACCGCGGAGACGGGGCGGGTCCCACAGCGCGCCAAGTGATTACGGAGCCCGTCGGTCACTTGCAACGGCGATGTCGTCGTCATCATCGTCGTCATCGTCATCAACATGAATGTCGTCATCATTGTTATCATTGCTGTAATCATCAACAACGTCGTCATCATTGTGATCATCATTAACTTCATCATCACCAATGTCGTCACCATCAATGTCGTCATCATCATCGTCATCAACATCAACATCGTCATTATTGTCATCATCATCGTCATCATCGTCATCATCATCAACGTTATCACCATCAATGTCGCCATCATCATCGTCATCATCATCAACGTCGTCATTATTGTCATCATCATCGTCATCATCATCAACGTCGTCACCATCAATGTCGCCATCAACATCGTCGCCATCATCATCATCAACGTCGTCATTATTGTCATAATCATCGTCGCCATCATCAATGTCGCCATCATCATCATCAACAACGTCGTCATTATTGTCATAATCATCGTCGCCATCATCAATGTCGCCATCATCATCATCAACAACGTCGTCATTATTGTCATAATCATCGTCGCCATCATCAATGTCGCCATCATCATCATCAACAACGTCGTCATTATTGTCATAATCATCGTCGCCATCATCAATGTCGCCATCATCATCATCATCAACGTCGTCATTATTGTCATAATCATCGTCGCCATCATCAATGTCGCCATCATCATCATCATCAACGTCGTCATTATTGTCATAATCATCGTCGCCATCATAAATGTCGCCATCATCATCATCAACGTCGTCATCATCAACTTCATGCCGACGATGGGCGGTGGCGACACGGCCCCAGCGGGCCGTGTGCTTGCCGTGTGCTTGCCGTGTGCTTGCCGTGTGCTTGCCGTTTGTTGCCGTTTGTTGCCGTTTGCTGCAGAGTTTCCGCGGTTCGCATCCGGCGGGCCGCCCTGGTTAATACTGCAGCGGTGTTGTGCTAACCGTGGACGTTAAACATCTCCTGGAGATATTTTCTGGGTGGACAGAGGCCGGGAAGGTGGAGGAGGGGTGGATTTAAGAAACGTGCTCAGAAAAGATGTGGCACTTGTGTGGTGGTGCCAGTGGTGTGCTGTGCGGTGCTGCGTTGGGTATGGGTGTGTGGTGTGACGTGGGGTGTGTGATCAGTGAAGTAAACCCCTCGCGTTAAATTTGGTTCTGAGAATTAATATACAGGGAACTCCTCTACTTACGAACATTTGACTCACGAACTTTCAGAGATACGAACAAAACCTGGTCCGTGTGTCCAGTTGCCCGTTTGGGCCGAGAGTCGTAAGTTCAACCGCCGTGCAATAGATGGCGCTGGTGGCATCTACATCTGCAGAACGTGAAGAACCAGTGGCACCTGCAGAACGTGAAGAACCAGTGGCATCTACATTTGCAGAACGTGAAGAACCAGTGGCATCTACATCTGCAGAACGTGAAGAACCAGTGGCATCTACATCTGCAGAACGTGAAGAACCAGTGGCACCTGCAGAACGTGAAGAACCAGTGGCATCTACATTTGCAGAACGTGAAGAACCAGTGGCATCTACATCTGCAGAACGTGAAGAACCAGCGGCATCTACATCTGCAAAACGTGACGAACCAGTGGCATCTACATCTGCAGAACGTGAAGAACCAGTGGCATCTACATCTATAGATGATAGTGTACACACCATACATCACGTTTGGAATCGACAGGGAGTAAATTTTGGACTTACGAACAAAACCAACTTACGAACAGACACCTCTGGAACCTAACTCGTAAGTAGAGGAGTTCCTATAACGGTTTGAATTGTCACGTGACGAACTCCGTCGTGTGGGCCAGAGGTCACGCGAAGGCACCTCAGCGGTAGCTCTACGGTATCCGTTCCTGCGGGCCCCGTTCCCGGGGGGGTGGGGCGCCGTGCTCGGGGTCGATTTCTCCCGTGCCAAATTCGCGACGCAACTAAGGGGGAGGGGGAGGGGGGGGGGGCGGAAACGTTTGTGCTTCATTGAATTGTTCGTTCGAATGCGTCGATTTGTCGCGTGCGCGCGTCTGTGCGTGCGGCGCAGGCGGAGAGAGGCAAGGGCAGTAAAAAGATGACGGAGAGAGAGAAGAAGAGGAAGATTCTGGCCGAGCGCCGCAAGGCTCTCAACATCGATCACCTGGCTGAGGATAAGCTCAGGTGAGAGGCACGGCGGCCGCGGTCGGCTTCGCGAACGGCGCGTCCTAGAAATTACCCGGGGGGTTGGAGCTGCTTCCATCTGTGCCAGGGTGCTTCAAGGCAATGTTAACACTTATATGGGACGATCGTTTTTAATGGGAAAAAGAACGGATAATGGACTGTAACATTTTCCTCTGTCTCATTGGCGCTGGGCATATTGTTCTTGGAGAAAATCGATTATTCTTGTAACAAACTCATAACACTGGTCACACTTTTTCTAGCATAAGGTATTTCAACGGGTTTTACAAGGTAATTTTGGGGTGCTGATTCCAAATCTGGCATCAGTTTTTGTCTATCACGTCAGGTTTTTGAGATATCAAATATTGCATTTTCAATAAAAACTGCAGAAGAAAAATATTAAATAAATGTGGATATCTACATAAAATGATATTATAAACACACTATCCTAAAAATACAGCACCATATTTTAACACTAAAGCAGTCACTGACTCGCAACAACTTGCAATCATACGTGACAGGAATTTCTGGTACAATCAATGAAAATGGGGTATGCCGATAGCATAAAAAATTAACCCGTAAAAACAAAGTTTTTCACTATAAATCCTTTATATGCGTGGTGGCTAGAGTCCTCTCGTCCTCTGGCTTGAGATGGCTGCCACCTATGGGTCAGATGATTGCCTGCCACCATTAAGCAATTGGTAATTAAATATAATTTTTTTCTTCCTAAAAAGTGTAAAATTTTGGAAAAATGTTTTCACAAATACATTGTCACGCACAACGAGTCTGTGTGCAAAATGCCAGCTCGATTGGATCACGGGAAGTGGGTTAAAAAACGACCGAAAGATTTGCACGGTCGTAAGCAAGCAAGCAAGCAAACAAGTGAACTTAATATACAAGATTTTAAAATGAGATTTGATAGAGCAAATCTGAGATCAGATTTGGAATCGGCACCCTGAAATTAGTCTAAAACAGCTGCAAAAGTCCAGGCCAGAAAATGTTTTTTTTGTTGACCAGTGTTATCAAAGTCTTTTTGCAGTTCAATTAGCGCGTGGCGTTAGAGTCAAGAGTGAATGAACGATGGAGCGGAGGAGGAGGCTCGGGAGCAGGAATGAGCGACACGGAGGGTAGCAGCAGCAGATGGGATTAGACGATGATGACAATGATGGATGATGATGATGCTGACGATGATTGGCAACGGTGGAGAGGACCGCTGGGTGGATTTGTAAATCTCAGCATCGTGAGAGATGGTGGCAGCGGTTTAGGGAAGGAGGCCTTCATCCCCGCAGTGGATCGATCCTGGCTGCTGACGACGATGACGGTGATAATGACGACGATGATGGCGACGGCGATGATAACGACGATGATGACGATATGATGACGACGATGATGACGATGATAACGACGATGATGACGATGTTTACGACGATGATAATGATGACGACGATGATGGCGACGATAACGACGATGATGACGATGACGATGATGATAACGACGACGGTGATAACGACGACGACGGTGATAATGATGATGATGACGACGATAATGATGACGACGACGATGGTGACGACGACGATAACGATGCCGAAGATAACGATGACGACGGACGGTGACCCGCGCTGCGCTCTGCGTGTCCGCAGGGAGAAGGCGAACGAGATGCACCTGTGGCTGACGCAGCTCGAGTCGGAGAAGTTCGACCTCCAGGAGCAGCTCAAGAGGCAGAAGTACGAGGTGAGGGGCCCCCTGGCGGCGTGCCGAGCGGACGCGCGGGGAGCACCGTGCCACGGGAGCTCAACTAAACAAAACGCGGAGGGGGGGAAAGAAGAAGCATCTTGGGGGGGATGGGGGTGGGGGCTCGTCGCCGAAAATGCGATCGCCCTGAAGATTTCGCCGGTAGGAGACCCAAAGTTGGTGCTTTGGCGTTGCGAAGCCATACCTTTTTGCCCGCCACCTAATTTATAGCGATTTTGCCCCCCTACCCCTTACCCCCTATCCCCCCCCCCACGCCCCCCCCCCCCACCTCAAATACTTTTGACATTGTCTTGGTTCTTTCGGTAAAAGCACGTAGAAGGAAAATAATAAAATAATAAAAATAAAACATAATAAAATTATTCTCACGACGTTTCGGCCACAACGCAAGCAGCCGTCCGTTGTGGCCGAAACGTCGTGAGAATAATTGTATTAGGTTTTATTTTATTATTTCCCTTCTACGTGACTTTACCGAAAGAACCAAGAAGATGAATCCCTGCAGTCACGAAAGCTTTCATTCGAAATTTTGACAACGCTCCCAGATGATGTTCTTGGTGTCCGCGGGCAGGCGAATCTCCTCCCGACGTTACCACGAAGTTTGCCGAGCAGTTTCGTCGAACGCGGTACAGCCTCCCAGCGTGGTACGAATGTCAGAAGGCTGGAGCCTTCGGGGAATTGCCCACGCTCTGCGGTCCTCTACGTGTATGTGTGTTAAGATGTTTACAACCACCTGGTGAAAACGCCGCACATCCGATGGGGGCAAGACTCTATCCCCGTGCAGATGGAACAGACTGATGGAACAGACCTTTCTGGCAACAGTTGTGTTAAGATGTAAAAAAAATACCAAATAGAATCCTTTTGCCTAGGAATCTTGTCTGCATTAACCACACTTGTGGTGTGAGCATGCAATCAAAAACACATGCTCTCATAACACTGGTCAACACACTTTTTCTGGCATAAGGTATTCCAACGGGTTCAAGGTAATTTTGGGGTGCTGATTCCAAATCTGGCATCAGATTTTGTCTATCACATCAGGTTTTTGAGATATCAAATATTGCATTTTCAATAAAAACTGCAGAAGAAAAATATTAGATAAATGTGGATATCTACATAAAATGATATTAAAAACCCACTATCCTAAAAATACACCACCATATTTTAACACTAAAGCAGTCACCGACTCGCAACAACTTGCAATCATAAGTGACAGAGTTAATTTCGGGTAAAATCAATGAAAATGGGGTATACCGATAGCATAAAAACGAGATGTGATAGAGCAAATCTGAGATCAGATTTGGAATCAGCACCCTGAAATTAGTCTAGAACAGCTGCAAAAGTCCAGGCCAGAATTTTGTTGTTGTTGACCAGTGTAATTATACATGGGCATTCTTTGAAACTGATTCTTAACACCTGTTTTAATTGCCACGAAGGGTAAAACATATTGTTATAATTTATCGCTGGCGAGGAAGATCCCACATTGTAGACTGATATTAGTCCGCCCTTTGCTGAGCTGCCTTCGGCCCGGCGAGGCAGAGGTACTGCTCAACCTGGACGCCCACGGTGGGGAGGGAGGGAAGGGAAATTCGCAAACATTTACACGATCCGCAGGGGCAGGTAATCCGGAGCGCGAATCGCGACGCCGGGAGAGCGACGTTTAGGAAATGTAAGTTCGAGCGATTTGGTTTTGTGCGAAATGTATCTCCCACGTCGTACGTAACCGGCCGTGACTTTGCTACGGACTCGTAAACCGTTGCACATTCTCTCTAATGTTGAGATAAAACAAAAAAAAGAAATAGCTGGACAGAAACCATACGGGGATTGCTTTTAACAACTAAAATATAACATGTGATCGTTAAATAAATTGGTCTCGTGGGAAATGAGTGATAGATACGTCGATAGGACAGTGCTGTCTGGCACTTTGACCTCCCGCTGACCCCACTAACATGTCATGTGACTTTCTCCCCCTCTCACATTCGAACATCTCAATGGTGCCACACGTGTCTGACTACCATCTCAATCACCATCGCCACTATCATCACCGATACCATCGCCATCACCGTCACCATTACCATCATCACAATCACCATCACCCCCATCAACTCCACTGCTAAACTCACTTCCACCACCAAAACACACTTCCATCGCCACTATCGGACACCATCAAAATCATTGTTACAACCACCATTACTTCCACCGCCACCATCCCAACACCACCGTTGTTGCCACCACCACCACCATCCCATCACCACTGTTACCACCACCATCCCACCACCATCCCACCACCACCACCATCCCACCACCACTGTTGCCACCACCACCATCCCACCACGACCACTGTTACCACCACCACCATCCCACCACCACTGTTACCACCACCACCACCCCACCACCACTGTTACCACCACCACCACCCCACCACCACTGTTACCACCACCACCACCATCCCACCACCACCATCCCACCACCACCATCCCACCACCACCACCACCATCCCACCACCACTGTTACCACCACCCCACCCTCCCAGGTGCAAAACCTGCAAAACCGTTTCGACGCCGCGGCCAAGTCGTAAGTGTGGCGGCACCGGGGAGCGAATTTAGCGACGGGCGAGACAGAGCCACGCGCAAATAGCCTTGCCGGTGTTCAGTGCAGCCGCCGTGGGCAGCGATACGCCCCCCCCCCGCCCCCCTGGAAAGGGTGCTATGTGAATACAGGTTGACAACGATGGCGAACAATTGGGAGACTCTCTGACGTTTTGAAGATGTTAACATTACTGATAGTGTCATGTTACAGTCTTCTTATCCGTTCCTTTTCCATGAAAAACGGGAAAAAAACGATCGTCCCATCTAAGTGTTAACATTTTATTGAAACACCCTAGCAAAACTGAAAATAGAATTGAACAGATACACCTTGGGCGAGGGATAGGTGAGATGCAGGGCTAGCGTTAGGCCCAGGCGTGTGAGAGTTATGTCTGGGAAGAGGGTTAGACTCGTATAGGGTCGGGTTAAGTCTGGGAATTGTGTTATTACTGGGGTTAAGGTGCAGTTGTCTAGGTGAGATGTAAAAGCTCACCGCATGTGCTGCGTCTTAAATCGGTGCGGGCCGCCGCTCTAGGCAACACGCAAGGCAGTAACACCGCATTAATGGCGGGGAAAAAAAACACTAAGTTATATCTGCAAGCATATGTAACGAACACAGTCGGCAACGTTTTGAGCAATGGTCTCTTCGTCAAGACATACAAGTGACATGAATATTGCCATGTGCGCCGTGTGCTATGAGAAAGGGCCAATTCCTGAAACATCGCCTCTCTATAAACGTATATATATTTTGTATAGATAGTGCCGAAGTCCATACTCTTTGGTTCTTTCGGTAAAGTGACGTGGATAGAAAAATAACAACAGATCACGACGTTTCGTTCGCAACACAAAGCAATCGTCATCACGTGGGACAACCTTTCCTCGCTGTGGTCGTCCCACCTGATGACGATTTGCTTGTGTTGCGATCGAAACGTCGCGATCTGTTATTATTTTTCCCACCCACGTGACTTTTACCGAAAGAACCAAAGAGCATGGATTCCTGCAGTCACGAAAGCTTCAAATCATCGTGCCGAAGGGGCTCTGCTTCGGCTCCTGACCGGCGCAAGGTGGCGGGCGCACAGTCGCGTGGCTCTCTCTCGCCTTGCCGCTATTCCCACCGTGGTTCCTTGCGCGCGCGTGTGCACGTGCGCTCGTCACCCTCGAAGCCCCCCCCCGCTCCGATCGCACGATCAGAGCGCCGGCGATCAGTCGCGATCGCCGCTCGAGCGTGGAGCTGCTTTTTTTCTTTTCGGCAAAGTCACGGCCACCCCCACCGCAACCGCCGTGGCTCTGCCGCTTGTCACCGGATCGGAAAAATCGGGCGGGGGTGCGCCAGATTTTTCGCGATTGATTTTTTGTTGTCGTTCAGAAAAATCGAAGCTCGATTCGTCGAACTCTCGCCGGAGGCTCACCCCGGCGGTGGTCGCCCGGCGCCCTCCGTGTCTGCTCGTTTTGAGCGCCCCCCCCCCCTCCGTCCGGCTCGTGTGCTTCCGCGCTGATGAGGCTACAAAGTCCACCTCAGGTTTTGTTTCTTTGGTGCCCTCCGTGCCGGCCCACTTCCTCTATCCGCCGCATCCTCTCCGGTCCCTGAACCTTCGTAATGTCACCGTTGCCGGCAGGCCCCTTTCCCGAAGCTGTAAAGCAGCACTGCTTCTTGTTCGGCCTCTTTCCCTTCCTTCCAGAGCTCCCTTTGTCGAGTGCTCACCTCTGAGAACGAACCACAAATCCACATCCGAGGCCTCTTCTGCATAGCTCCAATTCGACTTTCTCCCCCGAACCTTTTTTTCCGTCCACCCAACTGATTTGCTCCGATCGACGCCACAACCCACGTGTCTCCGAAGACTTTTCGGCCTCCTTAAAGTTTCTCCGCCGCATGCCACGCTTCACTCCGTACGAACGCGGCACTCCTCCAGTCTACGCTTCTGGGCTCATCTCCAGTCTCGTCTTCAGCTCTCCGCCGACAAATTTGCCGCACTAAACGGAGCGACCAAACTGCCCATGTAACAAATGAGATGGCTTAATCTTTTAACTTTTTTTTTTTAACTTCACACACATAATACAAACGAGACGGTCAATAGCAACTTACTTCTTTGAATTTTTAATTGCCAACTCCAAATCGTCATCGATAACAAGTCCCCGCCGGTGGTGGGGTGGGGGAGAAGGGGTCGACTTGCATCATCGGCCACAACCGCACTTGCGAATGTAAAACCTGAGGTGGACTGCCGCTTCCTCGCGCCCAAGTCCCCCGGGGCGACATGGGGGAGGGTGTGAAAAGTCTTCGGCAGGGATGTGAATCGAGTGTAGCTTTCAGAGGGCGGTTTTGTGTTGTTTTGCCGACCCCCCCCCCCCCCCCCCTTTGCTGCCTCGCTGCTCACCACCCACTCGGCAAATGGCCGCACCGAGGGTGCTTCACCACGTGCGGGCCGTGTCGTTGCACCGGGCGACGATGACGATGATAGATGTCATGCGGTGAATGACGCGACGTCACGCGCAATGACATCATCGCCTTGGCCCAAAAGGCTTCATCTGTATAGCTGGGCGGCCCCGGGCACGAGATGATGTCACAAAGCGCATGGCACGTGACATCATCGCCGTGGCCCAATAGGCTTCATCTGTAGATGTGGGTGGCCCCGGGCAACGAGATGATGTCACAAGGCGCATGGCACGTGACATCATCGCTGTGGCCCAATAGGCTTCATCTGTATAGCTGGGTGGCCCCGGGCAACGAGATGATGTCACAGGGCGCATGGCACGTGACATCATCGCCGTGGCCCAATAGGCTTCATCTGTATAGCCGGGCGGCCCGGGCACGAGATGATGTCACAAAGCGCATGGCACGTGACATCATCGCCTTGGCAAGCGTGGGCCCCTTTTCTTCTTTCGGGCCCTCCCTCCATCTGGGCCCGCTGCACGCCCACCTTATGGCGCTCACGGTTCGGTAGGCGTTGAGAAAGTGACGTCACCGTCGCCACTCCGGTAAGTGGGACAGGGGCCTCAACGTGATGGGGGCCAGGGTGGCGATCGACGATGCCAGAAGTCACGGACGCGGCTCGGCAGGTAGGAAATCTGCGGCGGGCACGCAGCCCGGTTCACGCTCCCAGGATGCCCCTCTTCTCGACGGGAGGCCGCTGCGTCTCTGCCGCTGCCCATCGCGGACCGAAACTTTTCCCCGTGGCCGTCCGCCACGGCTGCAAGCCGAGCCTACGGGTCTCCCTTTTTGCTGCCTACGACGGATCTATATAGGATCTATATATTTTTTTTAAATGCCACCATTACCACACCACATGCTCACTTCCTATCGATAATAATCACAACGCCATTTATTTATCCAGAAAAGTTTCACCCCGTCTCAAGATTCCAAGTCAGGGCACAACGTTGTTCCCGGGGTTCTCCGATGTGTGTCCGGGTCGTGCTGCGCGTTGTTTGGCCGCGAGGTCCGAAGTTCTGCGCCCCACGCGCTGACCGCCTCTTCCTGAAGCAGCTTCCAGCAGCGCGGAGGGAAACGTCAAAAATCTAGGCAGCAGTGTTGGGATTTCACAACCGATATTATTCATCATAAACGTTTATGGGTTAGATCGCGTTATTTACAAATGTGTCGTAACCCTCCACCATCCGACACGGCCAATCAGTAAAAAAGTGTCACGTTGACAAAAGACAAATAGTTTACTGCTTTAGCCCACCGGTGTGTTGAAGAGTGAATCCACAACATTTACAATTTGAGCACGACGTTTCGCTGGTAATTACATCCAGTATCATCGGGCAATTTGCCAGAATAAATAACGCGATCTAACCCAAAAACGTTTATTATGAGTGTTGGGATATTTGGCAAATTCCATGAAAGAAGTTGTTTTTGCATGTTTGGAAGGAAACGGGAGCGACCCGGAGAAAACCCCGCCTTGTGTACGAGATAGCGCTCAAAGCTCTGCGCGAATACATCCAACAATCCATTTGCTGTACTGCCAACGCCGAACCATCTGACAGCAATGTCCCACCTAGCCCTAGGCGTGTATGTAGTCTGAGGTGCATATCTAGCCCCTAGAGGCCTGTACCTAGTCCTAGGCCAGCATCTGGCACTGGGCCTGTATCTAGACCTAGACTGTGGGAGTTTCACAAATCTGCACGACTCGCCAACCCTCGGCTGCAATTGGCAAAATTCAATAATTGGCAAAAAAACATCTAAAGAGCCTTGAGACTCGGGAGGACCTGGAGAGGAAAAAAAATTCACGCGAGAGGCACGCAAACTCCAAATATACAGCAACAGGCGTCGTCAGGGTCGGGATCGAACCCAGGCCCTCCTGCACACCAGGCGAAGTAGTTAACATCTCCTAGCCACCGTGATGATGATGATGAGAGAGACACAAATTCCAAATATACAGCAGCAGGGGTCGTCAAGGTCGGGATCGAACCCACGACCTCCTGAAAACCAGGCGAGGTAGTTAACATCTCCTAGCCACGTGGAGAGAGACACCGCAAACTCCAAATATACAGCAGCAGACGTCAGGGTCAGGATCGAACCCACGACCTCCTGCACACCAGGCGAGGTAGTTAACATCTCGCCACGGCACACAACTCCTGGTCGTAGTGGGTCGCTCATGCGAAGCACGAGCTAAGACGGTCTCGACCCACTGCCCTCCCCTGCTGAAGCTTCCAACATCTGACGAGGAGGTCTGACCCCCGGACCCCCGGGGACAAGGCCGGTGGTAAAGCTCGTCGGGCGGCAACCGCGTGCCGTCTTGCGTCGGCCAAACGCGAAGAGAGCGAGAGATAGAGAGGGGGGGTTGGGGGGGAACGGGGCGAGTCTCGAGACTCAGACCTGGGCCACAACTCGGGATAAACGCAGTTGTATCCGCGGCGTGACCGCAATGAACGCTCTCTTATTTCCAGGCTAATGTGCTGCGACTTCGGGTGCAGGATGCACAGAGCAAATAGTGAGTACAACTGTGCTCCCCCCACCCCCAACCAATATACCCCCCCACCGCCACTACCCCACACCAGCGTGCAGTGACGTGACGACGTGACCCAGCGTGGCCACCACCACCACCCCCAACTAATGGCGTGAATCTTCCTTTAACCCCAACGGCTGTTACTTGTATTTCACGTTAGCGGTGGTAGTAGGAGTAACAACAATCATAATCGTCGACTCGGTAAAGTCACGTGGGTAAAAAAAATGTCAAGTAAATTAAAAAAAACGATAGTCCCATGTAAATGTACAAAAAAATGTAAGCAACCTGTATTACTGTAGGCAAAGATGCTGCCCGTATAGCCTTGGAAGAGACTGTTGGGCAAGTGCCGTCACAGCGAGTACTTCACGACGGCAGCAAAGGCACACGAAGCGGGTGGACAGCACCACGCCCGGCCGCCTTTGTGTGTCCCCAGTGGCGATGTTTACGCACCGCACCATGTACTCACTTGAGGCCGAGTGGACCTAGGGGAGGCCCAGGACCGGTTCAGAACAATCGCCACTGGTGTTGACCCACGAATGGGAATTGAACTCGGGTCGCCGGGTTCGTAGCGCAGCGCCACCAACAACCGCTCCGCCACCGCTCCCCCAAATAACAAAGATCCCCCGTGTAGCCTTAACAGACTGTAGGGGCGAGTGCTGTTAGCGAGTAGCACCTATGAAGGCGGAACCGTACACACACGCGCGCACAGGCGAACGCCCCTGGACTCACCTACCGCACAGGTAAGACCGAGCTCGCGCGTTTGAATCACCTTGGCAAGGGGCGTCCGACGGCTTCGCCGGCCCCGAGGATCACCGACCACCAAATCACCGCCGCCACGACCTCCTCCACTCAAGACACAACCACAACTCCTATGTCCGTGCGGGGGGCCAGCAGCCGTGTGCTGTGCACCATTGTGTCGGTCACAGTGGCCCCCCCCCTCTGCCCCTGGCAGGAGGCTGCGGAGGGGAGGGTTGCTGATGACTGGCAAAGCGCGGTGTTGCCAGCATGCAGGAGGAGTGCGGAGTTTTGCCGGTTGCTGTGGTTGGAGTGTGATTGTTGGGTTGCCCCTCTGCTGATCGGAGCTGCTCCTTTCTAACGGCTTGTCGCGTGCCGCCTCCTCCTCCTCCTCCCGTTTGCTCCGCTCGCGGCGATAACACGTCTCCCTGGGTTGAGATAAAACGCTTTCGCGCGTGGTAACGCTCGACACGACGGACAATGCTGCCGACGGCGACGGTGCTCATCGCGACAGTGACGGAGGGCGGCGAGGATTACGGCGGCAACGATGGCACGGCCACTGCTCAATTCCGACTACGGAAACGAAGCGATCGCGATGGCGACGATTCCATAAATCTCACCGTCGTCACCGTCACGGTAACCACGTGATGAGCGCGGCGGTCATGACAACGATCGCAACGATGACGAGACGTCGACCCCTCGTTGCCACGACGACGAGTGCGACGCCACGGCGACTCACCTCGTTTCCCCCCCCCCCCATCTTGTGCCACCGCGAGCAGCTCCAAGGGCGGGCGCGGCAAGGGAAAGGTCGGAGGTCGCTGGAAGTAAAGGCGTGGGGTCGCGACCCCCACCCCGGAGAGGGGGCGTCCGAGGAGACGCCCGTGACCTCCGGGGTCAGGAGACATCGCAGGAGCCAGAGACCCAACCCTCCGTGTGTAGCTTCCCCGCATGGTGCCAGCCTCACCCCGGGGCACACCACCACCCCTGCCCCCCCACCCATCCCCTGCCCCCCACCCGCCCCCCACTTCTCTCCTTTGTTCCCCTCGCCGCTCTGTATTTTCGATTCCTCTAATAAAGTCGACGAGTGCTCATTCAGCCAGCAGGAGGTTTTTCTTCTAGATGTGAAGCTTTCGTGACTGCAAGGATTCATACTCTTTGTTTTTTTCGGTAAAGTCACGTAGGTGAAAAAAGAAACATAATTCAAATCAGTGATTTAATTTATTTGTTTTCTTTTTTAACCTACGTCACTTTACCGAAAAAACCAAAGAGTAGGAGGTTTTCCCTTCACGTCGGCGGCGATCGCACGACGGAGCGTGCCGGGATGTTTCAAGTTTCATTAGGTGTAGCCCTGTGAGCCACGCGGCTCTTAAGTCGGGTGCAACCGCAACAAACTCAATATGAACACAGAACATCCTAAAGCGTGGGGCACTCGCAATACGCCGCGGTGGCTAGGAGATGTTGACTACCACGATCGGTACACAGGAGATCGTCGGTTCGATCCCGACCCCGACGCCTGCTGCTGTATATTTGCGTGCCTCTCTCACTCTCTCCCTGCGGTCGCGTGGATTTGTCTCCCCGGGACGGAGGCGGGCGGCGGCTGCCAGTGCCAACCATTACCACGGGGCGGCAACCCCAAACGACGAAAGTCGTGAATATCCCTTTTCACCGTTTCACACACCAACAACCCGCCGTTCGCCGCCACTAAGCCGGGCTTAGATGCGCGTCAAGGCCGAGCGAAGTTTCACAGCGCACGCACACGGCGGCCAATTTGAAATCGGGTAACTTTTTATTTCGTTCCAAAAGGCGGCGTTTCGTTTTCAACCGTTGGGCGAGCGCGTCGAGCAACTTGAAATGTAAAAATCGATTTTCTTCGCCGCTATTCTACGAGACTTGTTTTTGGAGGGGGGCACAGACGCCGGGGTGGTGGGGGGGGGGCGAGGAAGAGCGGGGGGGGTGGGGCGGTTGTGAGGGGAATGTAGCAGAGGGGTCCACACCAGCCACGCTAAACCCACCGAATCAATCGACCAGTGTCAATTCGTTCAACCACGCGGCTGGGGCAGTTTGAGATACGAAATCTGGACGAATACCTTGAACTGAAGAGGCGTAAAGAAGGTTTGGGTTTCTTTTCAAGGGACAACTTTTCACAACGTAGGAATGCATCGGAGCACGGATCTGGTTCCAGCAGAACGCACGCACGCAGCAAAGCGATTTCTTGGGAAGTGCCAAAAAAAACGAAAAGAAAGCAACATTTGGTCAGAGAAGCCACGGGGGGGAATGAAAGTCCGAACAGGCTTTTTCAAAAATCTAAGTTTTTCAATCGTTTCATTTCTCGAGCGGGTCCCCATGATGTTCCAACGTTTGGCAGTCGTCCTTCAAACCGTTGCTCCAAACATGCGTTTCTGGAAGGGGAAGGAAAAACCGAAAGAAACGAGACGGTTACAAATCAGCAGACGACACGCCGCAACTTTTTCTCGGAAGGTTCAAACGACGCGAGAGAATGCCGCACGGCGATTCGTAACAACGTGGGACGCAAACTTTTTAAATGCAGATTGAAAACTCGTTTCTTAAGAACGCCTTTTTTGTGTTTAGTTTGGCTTCCACCACCCCCCCCCCCCCCCGCCACCTCTGGTTAGCATGGCTGGCTAACATACGGTGCAAAAGAAGTTCAACACGCAAATATTCACGCAGACTCAAAGGTTGTCATGCTTTTCCCCCCCCCCGCACCTCCGATTAGCACGGTTGGTTATGTACGGTGCGAAAGAAGTTACATACAGACTTATTCTGAGACCCATAGACTCGCACAGACATCCATAGACTCACACAGAGACCCATATACTCACACAGAGACCCAGACTCACACAGAGACCCATAGACTCACACAGAGACCCATAGACTCACACAGAGACCCATAGACTCACACAGAGACCCATAGACTCACACAGAGACCCACAGACTCACACAGAGACCCACAGACTCACACAGATACCCGTACACTCACACAGATACCCACAGACTCACGCAGAGACCCACAGACTCACGCAGAGACCCATAGACTCACAAAGACGCATAGACTCACACAGAGACCCACAGAAGAGACCCATAGATTGTTGTCCCCCCCACCCCCTCACCTCTGATTAGTACGGCTAGCTAGGTACGGAGTGAAAAAAAGCTCAACATACACGCAACATATACGCGCAAGATGTTTTTTTTAAACGATTGACAATTTGACGGTCGCGAAGGGAGCAGGTCACCTTCAGCACAGCCTCCAGCTTTGCGGAATCGACGGCAAACTTGCGGATGCCATCCGAGAGCTTCTCGACCGCCATCTGGTCCTCGTTGTGTTGCCAGCGGAAGGCCTTCTCGTCCAGGCTCACCTTCGTCTGCTCCATGGACTCGGCTACGGACAACACGCGGGACAACAATCCCCCCCCATATAATTAGGTTTTTTCGGTAAAGTCACGTAGGTGAAAAAATTTAAATTGACAACTCTCGGAACCTCCCATTTCAACCAGTCTACGCAACAAAGGCTCATTCTTGGCAGCGGTTTCAGCCGCACCACCTCTACATAACAAAAGGCTCAGTCCCATTAACACGTACCTTTACATCAGCCGCACCTTAACAACTCTGGGAACCTCCGAGTTCAACCAGTCTACGCAACAAAAGGCTCATTCCTAGCAGCGTGCTTCAGCCGCACCGAATCTCACAATAATAATATCCTGCCTTGGCTCCTCCCACCCTCAACTAGTATATATACAGTATATATACAAGGACTGTTTTCTTGGAATTTCTAATTTACTTGAAACAACAATCGTGCTGTGACGGTTCCACCTGAAGGCGGAAGCTTGTGTTGCCTCCGAAACGTCGTGATTTTTATTTTATTTTACTTTTATTAATTTCAATTTTTTTTTACCTATGTGACTTTACCGAAAAAAACCTAAGAACATGAAATCCTTGCAGTCACGAAAGAAGCTTCAAATCTAGAACAATCCCCCCCACCGTTCAGCTGCCGTGTCCCCGCAAAACACAAGTCCAGCGGCGCCAGCACAAGCGCCCCGACACGGCCGTTGTGAACCCCCCCTCCCCCCGGAGAAAACGACAGAGGCAGCTCGGTGCTCTCACAAGACACAAAGATCCCCCCACCCCCGTGTCGCCTGTAACAGACTGTCGGGGAAAGTGCCGTTAGCGAGCAGAAGCTGCAGCACCTGTGAAGGCCGGCACGGCACACGAGGGGGTGGGTGGCCAACACCATGCCCGGCCGCCTTTGTCTCCCCCAGCGGCGATGTTTACTACACACCGCACCAGCTACTCATTTGAGGCCGAGTCGACCTAGGGGAGGCCCAGAACCGGTGCAGATAATTGCCCCTGGTGTTGGTGGCCGTGAGCGGGTTTCTAACTCGGGTGGCTGCCGGGTTCGTAGCGCGGCGTAGCGCTAACCGCTGCGCCGCCGCTCCCTGCCCGAGAGACGCGGCCACTCTGAGACAATGACTTGAAGTGTTTGAATGTGGCTTGTGTAAAGCCCCTTTGTCATTCCACAGCTGCCTAACTGCCCCCCACACCCCGATTCAAGAGCCGCATGGCTCACAGGGTTATACCTAATACAGGTAGTCCTCTACTCACGACGGAGATGCGTTAAGACGACCCCATCATCGTAAGTCGAAAATATCGTAAGTCGAAGATGGCCTAGCCTACCCAGGAGTCTTAAAGAATGGTGATCATTTAGCAAAACAGAGCAATTTACAGTAGCGTACTGTATAAACTATATACTGTATGTATTTATTAATTACAATACTGTATTGCACAGCAATATTTAAAGTAATTCTTAGCCTACCTATATGAACTGCAATTGAATAGAAAGTTTTTTCAGGAAACAATCCTATCTGCTATAAAAAACTTTTAACATGCATTAAACGTATCGTATCGTGGTAACCCTAAAATGTAATCGCTAAAGCTACGTATCATACATGCATTGAACGTGTCGTAACGTATCATATTGTACTGTACTCACCAAGATTCGTACGCTGCTGCGTTTGCCTGCCGCGCGAAATTTAAAATATTTTACAATTTTGTTGTATCGCTGTCGCCATCGTAAGATCGAAATATCGTAAGTCGGACCGTCGTAACTCGGAAACTATCTGTAAATGAAACTGAAAACTAAAACTGGAACCCCACTAAGACCCCCCCACCAAGGGTCACTCCCAAAACGTCGTGGGTTATTTGACCATACTTCACCACGCTGGTCAGTGTGCGGGCTGAAGGCTGGCAGCTGAGCTGCGGTAACCTCCAAGTGCGGAATTTGATGGGGCTGGATCTGCCCTGTACTGCCCTCTGCTGCCCACACACTGCAGTGCAGCAAATGTGTGGGCAGCAGTGGGCAGCAGTGGGCAGTGCTGCAAATGTGTGGGAGAAGCCGGCGTGCACGGTAGCCTCCCCCAATCCAAGCGGTATCCAGGCTCGAACCTGCTTAGCTTCCAACATCCGAGAGAGATTGGACCCATTACGGGCACTTTGTTCCTTTAGCTGTTGATGTGCGTGCGTGTGTGTGATGTATGCAAGTTGGCACAGCGAGGAGCACAGGTGGTCCATCTCGGTCAACCTACGGCACCTGGGTCTGCGTCTGCCCCGTGACCTCCTGCCAGCAGCGAACTTTCGGACACTTCCCGTGGCCCCTAAGTGCACCTAGCACGGCACAAGCGCCGTGGTGACGTCACCGCCACTTGTTGGCGAACGACAGTTGTCGTCGTCGTGCCAGGCTGTGCGCGCGCTTTTGAGGCGATCGCGTGAAGTGTCGAAGGCTCGTCGCTGGCAGGCGAGGTCACTGGGAGAGACCCAGGTGTTATGGGTTAACCGACTTGTGATAGCTGGCCTTCACTCACCAACAACACTTTCCTCAACAGCCTGTGCTAGGCCACACTGTGGGGGGGAGGAGGAGGGGAGGACGGAAGCTTTGCCTTCGCACGTGCGGCCGCAAAAAAAAAACAAGACACCTAGCCTGGCACGAGCGCCGTTGCCGCACCCACCCTCTTTGGCGGAGAGCTGGGGCGCGAGCGTCTGCGAGTCGGCGTGAAGCTCCGCCAGCAGCTTGGGGGCGATGGTGAGGTAGTCGCAGCCGGCGAGCGCGCGGATCTCGCCCGTGTTGCGGAACGACGCGCCCATCACGATCGTCTTGTAGCCGAACTTCTTGTAGTAGTTGTAGATGCTGCGGACGCTCTTCACGCCTGCGGAGTGGTGGCGGTGGTGGGGGAGCGGTGGTAGCGGAGCGCGGACTTGGGACACGTGGAACGAGGACGCAACAAACGAAGGTCCGCGTGCAGCCTTTCAACAGGCCGCGCGCATGCGTCTGTCCGCGTAATCGTACGTGCTATTGCGTGCGACTGTGTTTATTGTCCACGTGATTACCCTGTTTGCGCACGTAATCGCCTGTGTAATGGTGCGTGCGTCTGCGCGACGATGAGCGAGAGCGACCGAGCGTCAGTGTGGTTGCGTGCGCGATCGATCATCCGTGTGACCATGTGTGCGATCATCGCGTGCATGGTCATTCTGTGTGACCATTTGTAGGACCATCTGTGCGACAGTCCGTGCAACTGTGTGTGTGACAGTCCGTGCAACTGTGTGTGCGTGCAACCGTGTAGGCGTGTCATCGCGATGTGACCCCGCCTGTGACCCCGCCTGTGACCCCGCCTGTGACCCCGCCTGTGACCCCGCCTGTGACCCCGTGATCGCGATATCCGACCGCCCGCGTGACGTGCGTGCGGACGAACCGGGGTCTTCGTCGGGGGCGTAGGACTTCTGCGCCGAGTTGGCGACGTGCCAGTCGAGGATGCGCCCCACGAAGGGCGAGATGAGCGTGACCCCGGCCTCGGCGCACGCCACCGCTTGCGCAAACGAGAAGAGCAGCGTCATGTTGCAGTGCACGCCGTGCTGCTGCTCCAGGACGCTGGCGCGAGGGGTGGAGGGGACGGGCGCGCACGGACACACGTGTGTAAGTACGTGCGTTGAACTTCTTTCGCACCGTACGTAGCTAATCGGAGGTGCGGGGGAAGGACAACTATGGGTCTCTGTGTGAGTCTATGGGTCTCTGCGTGAGTCTATGGGTCTCTGCGTGAGTCTATGGGTCTCTGCGTGAGTCTATGGGTCTCTGCGTGAGTCTATGGGTCTCTGCGTGAGTCTATGGGTCTCTGCGTGAGTCTATGGGTCTCTGTGTGAGTCTATGGGTCTCTGTGTGAGTCTATGGGTCTCTGTGTGAGTCTATGGGTGTCTGCGTGAGTCTATGGGTCTCTGTGTGAGTCTGTGGGTCTCTGTGTGAGTCTGTGGGTCTCTGTGTGAGTCTATGGGTCTCTGTGTGAGTCTATGGGTCTCTGTGTGAGTCTATGGGTCTCTGCGTGAGTCTATGGGTCTCTGCGCGAGTCTATGGGTCTCTGCGCGAGTCTATGGGTCTATGCGTGAGTCTATGGGTCTCTGCGTGAGTCTATGGGTCTCTGCGTGAGTCTATGGGTCTCTGCGTGAGTCTATGGGTCTCTGTGTGAGTATATGGGTCTCTGTGTGAGTCTACGAGCCTCTGTGTGAGTCTATGGGTCTCTGCGTGAGTCTATGGGTCTCTGTGTGAGTCTATGGGTCTCTGCGTGAGTCTATGGGTCTCTGTGTGAGTATATGGGTCTCTGCGTGAGTCTACGAGCCTCTGCGTGAGTCTATGAGCCTCTGCGTGAGTCTATGGGTCTCTGTGTGAGTCTGTGGGTCTCTGTGTGAGTCTGTGTATGTTGAACTTATTTCGCCAACCGTGCTCATGGGAGGTGCGGGGGGGGGGGAAGAACAACAATCTAGACATGAAAAGCAGTCGTAAGGAAAATGAGTTTGCAATCTAGAGGATTTAAAAGCGCAAAAAGCTCTAGTGGCCGGAGCTGCAATTGCCAACATCTTTGACAAAGGACACGGCACAAACGCAGAGAGAGGGAGAGAGCGGTAGATATTTTTTCTAAACGGAATCATCAATAAAGTCGTCACCACCCTGCGTGACGAGCGCGACTCGCTCACCGGCCGGCCTGGATGCCCTCCCACGTGGAGGACAGCTTGATGAGCACACGCTCCTTGTCCACCCCCGCCTCCTTGTAGAGCTCGATGAATTTGAGGGCCTTCGCCACCATCCCGTCTCTGTCGAACGACAACCTGGGGGAGGAGGTCAAGGGGTCAGCGGCCGAGGTCGAGAGGGCGGCGGAGGGTCGAGGCGGAGGACGAGGGGGCGGTGGCGGAGGTCAAGGGGTCGGCGGCGGAGGTCAAGAGGTCGGCGGCAGAGGTCAAGGGAGCGGAGGTAGAGGTCAGGGGGTCGGCGGCGGAGGTCAAGGGGTCAGCGGCCGAGGTCAAGGGGTCGGCGGCGGAGGTCGAGGGGGCGGCGGCGGAGATCGAGGGGGCGGCGGTCGAGGGGGCGGTGGCGGAGGTCAAGGGGTCGGCAGCGGAGGTCAAGGGGTCAGCGGCAGAGGTCAAGGGGGTGGCGGCGACATTAATTTTGTGGCCAGCAGGTTCAAGCCTTGATATGCAGACAGCAAAGACGTGGAACCATAGCACCGTACAACAACGGATCTTGCTGCACCGTCATCTGCCGGCCAGCACTCAAGTCGACAGCCTGCATGGTAAGCATAATCCTCATTTAAATTGCGTTGTTTACGCATCGGACATGCCGAGCAAACGACCAGAAACACGGCAACGCTGTTGCTGCTCGCAACGCGAACGACTGCACGTCTCCTTGAGATGCGGCGTGTGGCACGGAGGGGGCGAGATGTTAACTACCTCGCCTGGTGTACAGGAGGTCGTGGGGTTCAAACCCGACCCTGACGCCTGCTGCTGTATATTTTGAGTTTGCGTTTCTCTCTGGCCGTGTGGTGTTTCTCCGGGTCCTCCGGTTTTTCCCTCCACGTTTAGAAGCAACGTCGCGACGCGTTTAAAGGGCACTTGGCTGCCGCTATGAATTTCCACGCGACCACGAAAAGCCGCCAACTTCGTTGCGCTGCTGTCGTTTGTGATGGCCCGGGTCGCTTCTGAATAAGTACTATTTAAAAAGAAACTTGTTTTTAAAAACACGCTTTAATGAAATGTACCGTACTAGTAATGGAAGAACTCCACGACTCCAGGAAGTGGCCCCGAAGCTTGCCATAACGTAAGGGCCCGTAGTGATTTACAGCCAACGTCAGTTGACCGTGGACAATTAGACCCAAGCCGAAACATAACATATAAAAAATAATGTTCAAAAAGAAATGTTTTATTTTATTTTTAATGCTAGAATATAGTATTGTCATCAGTATGACATAAGTATACCAAGTTTGCAGTCAATACCACATTGGGAAGTGGGTTAAAATTGAGTTGCAAGATTTGAGGATACGACAACGGCGACAACAAAAGACAAAATAAAAGCGCGTAAAAAGAGCGACACAAGCCCAGCGGAGGCCTCAACCTGGTGAAGTAAAAAATTAACCCGTAAAAACTAAGTTTTTCACTCTAAATCCTTTATATGCGTGGCGGCTAGAGTCCTCTCGTCCTCTGGCTTGAGATGGCTGCCACCTATGGGTCAGATGATTGTCTGCCAGCATTAAGCAATTGGTAATTAAATATTTTAAAAAATTTCCCTAAACAGTGTAAAATTTTGGAAAAACTTTTTCACGAAAATTAATTGTCACGCACAACGAGTCTGTGTGGAAAATGTCAGCTCGATTGGATCACGGGAAGTGGGTTAAAAAACGACCGAAAGATTTGCACGGTCGTAAGCAAGCAAGCAAGCACGCACGCAAGCACGCCAGCGAACTTAATATAACGGATTTAAAAATGGTTTTAGTTTTAGTTTGGCAACTCTTTGAGATGCGACGAGCCGAGCCGGTTGCCCCTCTTTACCTGGCATCCACCTCGGTGGACACCCTGCCGGGGATCTTCTTCAGGATTTCGACGCCAAAGTTGACGAACAGCTTGTCGATGGCGCTCGTCACCTGCTCAGCGGGAGAGCTGAGAGAGAGGGAGGGGGGGGAGAGAGGGGGGGGGAGAGAGAGGGGGGGAGGGGTGAGCGAGAGGGGAGGAGGGGTGAGAGAGAGGGTCTCTCCGCGAGTCCACGGGTCTCTGTGTGAGTCTGTGGGTCTCTGTGTGAGTCTACGGGTCTCTGTGTGAGTCTATGGGTCTCTGTGTGAGTCTGTAGGTCTCTGCGCGAGTCTGTGGGTCTCTGTGCGAGTCTGTGGGTCTCTGTGCGAGTCTGTGGGTCTCTGTGCGAGTCTGTGGGTCTCTGCGCGAGTCTGTGGGTCTCTGCGCGAGTCTGTGGGTCTCTGCGCGAGTATGTGGGTCTCTGTGTGAGTCTATGGGTCTGTGTGAGTCTATGGGTCTCTGTGCGAGTCTATAGGTCTCTGTGCAAAGACAAACGGGTCTCTGCACGAGTCTGTGGGTCTCTGTGCGAGTCTATGAGTCTCTGTGTGAGTCTATGGGTCTCTGCGGGAGTCCGTGTACCTGTGTATGCATGTTGAACTTCTTTCGCACCGTACGCAGCCAACCGCGATAATCGTCTTCCTGTACCCAGGGTCCCCACCCCGGTGCGCATCGCGGAGGAGAGATTCTCGCTCACCTGCCGTGACTGAATCCGTACTCCTGCGCGTCCTGCAGCAGGTGTTCGTACGCGGGCATCTGCGCCGCTGCGAGCAGCAGCGAAGGGTTGGTGGTCGCATCCTGGGGCTTGTATTCATCGATGGCTGGGGGGCAGAGGTCGCAAACGGGTTTTGATTCCTTACCCGGCCGCACCAGGGTCGCAAATGGGTACCCGTACCCGGCCGGGTACGGGTAGCCGTTCCCTACCCGTACCCTACCCGAAATGAGTGACAAACGGCTCCTCACCAGTGACTCACGGCCTACCCGTACCCGGCCGCACCAGGGTCGCAAACGGCTACCCGTACCCGGTGGACTTATGTTTTTGTTTACAGGGCCGCTGTGCCGTCACACTGCCCGATGGCACTCCCCCCCCCCCCCCCATCTGTGCATGGTGGTCGCGCATACAACAATTAAAACCCCGGTTCAACTCAACCACCTGCTCGGCTTCCGAGATCTGTATGTACTTTGTTGAACTTAGGAATATGCGTTTATCCTTTTCTGGTGATAAAACAGGCAGTGTTAAGATGTTACAAACACCCAAACAGATTCACTTTGCAAGGGATCAAAGTTACTGCATTAGGCACACGCAGTACTTGCGGTGAAGATGCGACACAAAACATGCTCCGATAATGTACGGGCTGTCGTCTTTGAAACCGATTGGTCCCGTGATATGCTGAACTTCTTTCGTACCATACGTAGACAACCGTGGCTAACACCGGTGGTGCGGGTGGCGGCGGGGGAAGGCCAACAAACTGAACACAAAAAAAAGCATTTCGAAAGAAATGAGTTAATTTGTTTCGATTTAAAGCTTTCGTGACTGCAGGGATTCATCTTCTTGGTTCTTTCGGTAAAGTCACGTAGAAGGGAAATAATAAAATGATAAAAATAAAACATAATAAAATTGTATTTTATAAAATAAAAACATCATAATAAAATTGTATTTTATTACGTTTTATTTTTATCATTTTATTATTTCCCTTCTACGTGACTTTACCTAAAGAACCAAGAAGAAGTTAATTTGTTGTAAAGAAAAAAAAAAACCCCCGTACGATTTACAAAGCGGTCGATTCCCATGGCGCTTCGGTTCGCGGGCTCATTTGCTTCAGGGTTGCATCAGTTTCACGGTGCGGCAAAACGTCAATGCGGTAACCTGCAGCACACAAGCATATACAGTGATACCTCGGTTCACGAACGCTTCTGTTCACGAACAACTCGGTTCACGAACAGAAAAGTTCATAAAAATTTGCTCCGGTTCACGAACGCTTCTGTTCACGAACAACTCGGTTCACGAACAGAAAAGTTCATAAAAATATGCTCCGGTTCACGAACTCCGCTTCGGTTCACGAACAAGAGCCGCGGCCATTTTAATGCTATTTCCAGGCTGTCACGTGCTCGTGACTTCCTGTAGGAAGATCGTGGAGAGAAGAAGAGACACAGAAAGAAGTACTGTGAGTACTGTGAAGACACTTTGAGTGACTTTTTGCTTTTTGGTGTGCTTTTTAGCACATACAGTACTGTACTGTACTACTGTACTGTACAATACAGTACTGTTCACCCGTTTGAGTGCTTACTGAAGTCATCTCAAGCAAGGTTAGTGTTCTCTCTTTATACATTACTATACTGTACAGTACTAATGTGTATTGTAATTTGTTTCATATTTTTGTGCTTCAAAAACCAAAATAAAAGGTCAGAACGGATTAACCGGATTTACATTGAACCCTGTGGGAAAATGTGCCTCGGTTCACGACCAATTCGGTTCGCGACCAGAGTCAGTTCACGAATTAAGTTCGTGAACCGAGGTATCACTGTACGCGTTCTCAACCTTCTTCTCCCATCCTTCTTCAACACGCGTGGCCGCGCATGCATCATCTCCCCGCCCCCCCCCTCACCAACAAGGCCGCTGGTGACAATTCCACATTCCCATGGCCGCGTGAGTCAGTCCCGTCACGAGATGAAGCCCATCGCTGACCTCCCACACAAATGGGTATAATGCACGCACACACTCGCTCTCGATTTGGACAAGCCAACCCTGCCCGAATGATGGTCCGCACACTTTGTTGAGCTATCGTTCGTGTGATGGCCCGGGTCGCTTTGGAACAGGAAGTTGATGCCTCAGTGGGGACCTTTGGCTGGTAGGATGGTTTAGTGTTGTGTTTGTAGAGCGTTTGGGCCTCTCGTGTACTTTGCACTCCTATCACGTTTGTTGTCGTAACGTTCTTAACCCGTGCCCCTACTGGACATCTGTGAAAAAATTAACCCGTAAAAACAAAGTTTTTCACTATAAATCCTTTATATGCGTGGCATCGGTTTTATTTTATTATTCATTTCTGTTTTTCTTGAGTAAGAGTTTCATTTTTATCACATTGTTATTTTAATTAAATATGAAATTTATTTTTTCCTAAAAAGTGTAAAATTTTGGGAAAAAATTTTCACGAAAATAAATTGTCACGCACAACGAGTCTGTGTGCAAAATGTCAGCTCGATTGGATCACGGGAAGTGGGTTAAAAAACGACCGAAAGATTTGCACGGTCGTAAGCGCGCAAGCAAGCAAGTGAACTTAATATAAAGGATTTAAAAAGAAAGAGCTTCATTCATAGCTCATCGGATTCCTCCTGCAGTTTAAATAAATATTCTGATCCTGCGACCATTTCCCGATCGCTTTGAACCACAGCGCTGTCACCTGCCCTCCGACCTTGATGTTGTTGTTGTTACAAATATATGGACCAGAAACAACGACAAGAATCCAACAAGTTGTTGTTGTACCTAATGAGTTAATGATGACGTCACCCTGCTGCTGCTCTATATAAGACCGGGAGCCAGAGCAGAGCCTCACCATTCTGGCAAATTGCCCGATGATGCTGGATGCAATAACCAGCGAAACGTCGTACAACTCAAAAATTGTAAATGTTGTGGTTTCACGCTTCAACACACCGGTGGGCTAAAGCAGTGAACTATTTTGTCTTTTGTCAACGTGACACTTTTTTACTGATTGGCCGCGTCGGGTGGTGGAGGGTTACGACACATTTATAAATAACGCGATCTGACCCCAAAAACGTTGATTATGAAGAATCCCCTGTTGTACTGCACTTCCGTGTCCCCCCCTGCCTTCGCCACCGCAATAACCAGCGAGAAGTATGGTTGGGAAAAACAACGCGGGCGTTTCGGGGTGGGTGGGCATCACCTAGCAGTGTGATTGACACATGTACTGTATACATTGTGGCCACTACACATGTTAAGAGGGACTCGATTTGGATGACATAGCAGCGGCAGAAGGGGTGGAAAGCATCACCTATCGACTGGCAATCAAATGGCGAGGAAATGTTAACTACCTCGCCTGGTATGCAGGAGGTCGTGGGGGGTTCGATCCCGTCCCTGATGACACCTGCTGCTGTATATTTGGAGTTTGCGTCTCTCTCTCATCATCATCACGGTGGCTAGGAGATGTTAACTACCTCGCCTGGTAAACAAGAGGTCGTGGGTTCGATCTCAACCCTGACGCCTGCTGCTGTTGCTGTTGTATATTTGGAGTTTGTGTCTCTCATCATCATCACGGTGGCTAGGAGATGTTAACTACCTCGCCTGGTACACAGGAGGTCGTGGGTTCGATCCCGACCCTGACGGCTGCTGCTGTTGCTGTTGTATATTTGGAGTTTGCATCTCTCTCTCATCATCATCACGGTGGCTAGGAGATGTTAACTACCTCGCCTGGTACACAGGAGGTCGTGGGTTCGATCCCGACCCTGACGCCTGCTGCTGTTGCTGTTGTATATTTGGAGTTTGCATCTCTCTCTCATCATCATCACGGTGGCTAGGAGATGTTAACTACCTCGCCTGGTGCACAGGAGGTTGTGGGTTTGATCCCGACCCTGACGAAGCCTGCTGCTGCTGCTGTATATTTGGAGTTTGCATCTCTCTCTCATCATCATCACGGTGGCTAGGAGATGTTAACTACCTCGCCTGGTACACAGGAGGTTGTGGGTTTGATCCCGACCCTGACGAAGCCTGCTGCTGCTGCTGTATATTTGGAGTTTGCGGTGACCCTCTCTCTCGGTCTCCCCGTGGTCCACGTGGATTTTTCTCCGGGCCCTCCTCCGGTTTCTCCCATTCGCCACTAAGCGACGGCGACGTCACCGTGGAGATTGTGCCAGGCTAGGTGCACCTTGAGGCCATGCTGGCTGCTGGCAGTGTTGCACAATCGCCGCGTGTAAAAAGTATCGAAGCATTCTCAAAACTCTCGTCGTTTTCTGCGCGGCTCATCATCATCTTCAAAACGAAGATGTAATAATAATCACCATCATCATTTATTATTATTAAATTGCCGTGTTAGAACTGTAAACGATCAGCTGCGTTCAATTCCACCACGCTCATCTCACCGTTGAAGTCGCCCGTGTCGGCCACCACCACCGTGTAGGTCTTCAGCTGATCCAGAACGGACGACATCGCGCACTCGATATAAGGAGGGGGGGGAGCTGTGAGGGAAAAGTTGCCTTAAGGTTAATTACTTTGCAGATTAATTGGGGAAAAAAGAGGCAAAAGCAACTCCCTCACGAACGCGCTGCGCGATTTTGACCCTCCGACTTCCGGCGTGCGGCGCCTTATATAGGCGGCCCGTGCCGCGCGCTCATTGGTCGGCCGACAGCGGATGCCGAGCTCCTATTGGTCAACTCGGGCTGCGGCATCGCGGGTTAATCACGAAACGCGATTCGAAATTCAACGACGGGGCGGGGACGGCTACGGTGGCCCCTTCGGGACGATGACGTAGCGCGATTTGGTAATTGATGACGGAGACTTGTGTTGCCTCCGAAACGTCGTGATCTTTATTTTTATTTTATTATTTTATTAATTTTGATGTTTTACCTACGCGACTTTACCGAAAACACCTAAGAATATGATTCCTTGCAGTCACGAAAGCTTCAAGTCTAGAATTGTCATCTCGCTGTGTTCCTCCGCGTCTGCGCGTGTTCTGACGAAGAGTGATTGCCCGAAACGTCGATTGTTACACGTGTCTTTTTAACGAGTAACGCAACGATCGTGTAATTGCCGTGTTGAGTATCACGAATAATAATTAAAAATAATACTCGACACACTTGTTGAGTAATATTTGTAATACTTTAGTATTTTAATACTAAGCACACCTGTATTTTTGGTGCTTTCGGTAAAGTCACGTAGAAGGGAAATATTAAAATATATTAAACAATAAAAAATTATCACGTTTCGACGTTAACACAAGCAATCATTATCAGGTGTGAAATCCACACCGAGACCCACAGACACAGAGACCCACAGACTCACACTGAGACCCACAGACTCGCACAGAGACCCACAGACTCACACAGAGACCCACAGACTCACACAGAGACCCACAGACTCACACAGAGACCCATAGACTCACACAGAGACCCATAAACTCACACCGAGACCCACAGACTCACACAGACCCACACAGAGACCAATAAACTCACACAGAGACCCATAGACTCACACAGTGACCCACAGACTCAGATACCCACAGACTCACACAGAGACCCACAGGCTCACAGAGAGCCCCACAGACTCACACAGAGACCCACAGACTCACACAGAGACCCATAGACTCACACAGAGATCCACATACACAGAGACTCAGACTCACACAGAGACCCACAGACTCACACAGAGACCCACAGGCTCACAGAGAGACCCATATACTCACACAGAGATCCACAGACTCACACAGAGACCCATAGACTCACACAGAGACCCACATACACAGAGACTCAGACTCACACAGAGACCCACAGACTCACACAGAGTCCCACAGACTCACACAGAGGCCCGTAGACTCGCACAGAGACCCACAAACTCACACAGAAACCCAGACTCACACAGAGACCCACAGACTCACACAGAGACCCACAGACTCACACAGAGATCCACAAACTCACACAGAGACCCACAGACACCCATAGACTTACACACAGACCCACACAGAGACCCACAGACTCACACAGAGACCCATAATAGTTTGTTATATCCCCCCTGCACTTCCTATGAGCGCGGTTGACCATGTGCGGTGATTGCGACGTAAGTTCAAGCACGCGGTTACATCACAGCACTAACCCCCAACAGTATAGTAGTAGGTTTTTACCCTTTTAAACTGGTACAAAACTGACACCTTTATTCAAGGCATCATGTTTGCAATAACCACAACACAAGTAGTCAAAAAAGCAAACAAAAAGATGCAACTCTGATAATGATAATAATATGCACTGTTGCTTCTTTTTGTTTGGTTTTTTGACTACTTGTGTTGTGGTTATTGCAAACATGATGCATTGAATAAAGGTGTCAGTTTTGTACCAGTTTAAAAGGGTAAAAACCTACTACTATATTTTGCCACTGGTAAAAGAGATCTCATAGTGTCAATATACCCCAACAGTCTGTGAAGGCGTCCACGGTACGAGAGGGTATGGGGGATCGTTGTGGATGCCAGGCACATGGCGTGATCGTGGTGGTGGTGGTGATGATGGTGGTGGCGTCACTTTTATAACGTGAACACATGAGATTAATTTGTGCGTGGCTGAACAATGGTGGTGTTTGTTGCGTTGTGCGCATTGCGAAAGTTTTGAAAGTCTGGGGAGTGGATTTTTTTTGTTGAGTCACGGTTACTCAGCGCCGGCTAACACAAAGGTTAAATTTGAATATTTAGTTTTAACGCGTAGGAACGAAACAGGTGGATTTCTCCATAAATCTGTCTGTCGCCTGACGAAGCTGGTTGCAATTACCGGCGAAACGTCGTACTTCAGATTGTAAATGTTGTGGCTTTGCTCTCCAACACAACCGGTGGTGCTGTACTAGTATACTACACTATACACTACACTATACACGACTATATACTACACTATGCACTACACTATAAACTACACTATACACTACACACTACTACACACTACTATATACTACACTATACACTACACTACTATATACTACACTATACACTACACTATACACTACACTATACACTACACACTACTATATACTACACTATACACTACACTATACACTACACTATACACTACTATACACTACACTGCACACTACTATACACTACACTTTACACTACTATACACTACACTACTATATACTACACTACACTATACACTACACTACTATACACTACACTACACACTACACTACACACTACTATACACTACACTACTATACACTACACTATACACTACACTACACACTAGTGCTGTACTAGTGACTAATTGTCACGTTCTGTTTACGTGACAAACCCTTTACTAGTTGGCTGTGTCGGGTGGTGGCGGGTTTAACGACACATTCAGATATTTACGCGATCTGACCCCCCCAAAAAAACAATTATGGCTGAAAAATGTTGATACTCCGACTGATACTCCTGCTGTTATGGAGTGACTCATGCTGCCAGCTATGGCTGCAAAGTTTGGTCGTACATGTTGTGTGTATATCGTTTATTGTTAAATTTGAATCACAGTTCCTATGATCACTGTTACATTGCTTTTATAGCTTTCTTTTGGTGATTTCGAAAACGTTTTGGTTTAGCCATGTTTGTTTGTTGTAGTACAGAGTTAGACTGATAACTTTAATATAAATTGTCTTATGGTTGTTATTGTTTGACTTGCATCCCACTGGGATTTTTGCACACAGCGTGTGATATACGGTGCTTTTCTCTGGAAGATTTTGCAGTTTTTTCCTGGATTTTTCCGTTGCGCGCAGTAACTTTAAGATGTTCTTTGTTCGTGGTTTTGTTTGTTGCGGTTGCACCCGAGTCAAGAGCCACATGGCTCACAGGACTATACCGAATAAATGAAACTGAAAAACTGAGTTGGAGGCAGTCGCCCCTCCAGCTACGACGGAGGGCAGAGGAGCGACGCTCACAACAACAGGCGGAGCGCCGGGCGGATAAAACGCAGCGAGTTGGCACACAGTAGAGAGCACAGCTGGTGCGTGCATATGCCAGCCATCTCAGTCAACCCGTGGCACCTGGGGGTCTGTCCCGTGACCTCCTACCAGCATGGAGCAGAGGTCTCAATCGGTACCCGATACCCGTACCCTACCCGATACCCGGCTACCCGTACCCGGCCGGGAACGGGTACCCGTTTGCGACCCTGGTGCGGCCGGGTACGGGTAGGCCGTGAGTCACTGGTGAGTAACCGTTTGTCACTCATTTCCCAACGTCTTGCCTCTTCTCACAATTCAAGTTCCTAGAATCAACCCACCCGCGCCTGCAACATGGCTTCATCCCAGAGGTCGCAATCGGGTACCCGTACCCTACCCGATACCCGGCCGGGTACGGGTAGCCGGGTATCGGGTAGGGTACAGGGTACCCGATTGCGACCCTGGTGCGGCCGGGTACGGGTAGCCGGGTATGGAATCAAAACCCGTTTGTGACCTCTGGCATGGAGCCTTCGACACTCAACGTGACCCAGCCTCAACGTGCACCTAGCCAGCGCCGTGGTGAATGGCGGTTGTTGTTGATAGGGCGGTGTCATGGTTAGCGCATTGCGCTGTGAACCTCAAGTGAAGAATATCTGAGTGGGTTACTGGGGTCCGTCTCTCACGATCAACTCAACCTTAAACGAGTACCCGGTGCGATGTGTCAAATGTCAGCAATGGGCAGACAAAGAGCTTCATCGCTTATCGGATTCCTTCGTATAAGTCAATACTCCGATTCTGGAAGCAGCTTCTGCGGAATCTTCCACGGATCATTCTTCAACGTGAGGTCATCAGAATCAGAATACAAACACGATAGCAGTGCAAAGTACAAAACAGGTAAACACGTCACCAAAAACGCAAACAAATACGACGCTAAACCTCCCCCCTCGTCCTAGCAGGCAAAGCCACCACTGAGGTTTGAAACTTATTTTTCAGAAGACAACCTGGCCACGAAGGAAACCCTCGCATGACAAGAACGCAGACTGCACACGACGCTTGGAATAAAAAAAAAATTGAAACCGAAATTGAAATATATTAAGGTTTTTATTTTATTTATTATGATGCTCTAGCAGGCACACCGAAATCTGAATAAACGGCAATTTAAAACGCAACTGTTTAAACAATGGCTATATATAATATATAGCGGCGGTGTGTGTGTGTGTGGAACTTCCAAAACAAAAGAAAACGATATCGAGTTATAATTTACAAAGCGTGTGTCAAAATCGACGCAGCAAATCTTTGCACCGACCGCGCTTTTGCAACAAAAAGAGAGAAATAAATGGGAGTCATCAAAACATGATTTCCCCCACACCCCCCCCCCCAAGCCGAGAAGCAGAATGCAAACACAACGAGGCCAAAACGGCGACCACCACCACCACCAGCATCAATCACCGTGAATGAAAGAGAGAGAGAGAGAGGAAAAACAAGTGTCAAAAAAAATCATTGGCTCAGTGCGGGGCCTTACCTGGTAAAATATAATTTTATGTAGATATCCACATTCATTTAATATTTTTCTTCCGCAGTTTTTATTGAAAATGCAATATTTGATAAACCTGATGTGATAGACAAAAACTGATGCCAGATTTGGAATCGGCACCCCAAAATTACCTTAA